AGTAGTATACTACTCTGGGGACAATCCATCTATAATAACCCCCATTTATAGGCCGGGAACGGAGTAAAATGCAGGGGCATTCCATACCAACCTGCCCAACAAGGTACGGAGTTTATTGATGGATTGATCTCCTTCTTTCCCTTCCCCAATGAGCCAGCCAGTCACCCAGCCAGCCAGTCAAATCTAAGCCATTCATCCATCCATTCAGCCATCCCACCGATACGGAATTACAATAATGTCCTACTCCATTATCCCATGCATGATCCCGCAGCAGCAGCAGCAGCCACACCGTCCTCCTTCAATGAGGAACAAATACTAAGTAGCTGAACAAACATCCATCCAGCGCCCTCGGAATCATCGAATCTACTACCAAATCACAAAACCGATTAATCACTTTACACTACGCAACACAACCCTATGTCATAACTACTAGTACTAACTACAATAGTCAGTCACATTCCTCTAAGTAAGCGGAAGCCTTAACAACCAACCTAACTTAACCTCGGATACGCCCGGCGCAACCGGACAATTTTTGCAAACCAACCAATCTCAATGATGGTAAAGTAACCAACTACTACTAACAAACTATCGCTTAACAAGTGCCCCAGCCCCGGGCGGCGGTTCACGAAGATTAGGGCTGAGACGCGCGCGCGAGACAACAATAAGGTAACTAGTCTAGTGGAATCTGTTTTTGGTCCCGTGGAAGGGCTATTAATTTTTCTTTTTTCGGAATTCCTCGGAGGGTCTAAAGTAGAATGAATGGATCCGAGCCGAAACAATTCATCGCCAACCATAGGCCGAGATATTTCCTGTCTCCGACGGCGGCGGAGAGTCTTGCATGGTTTTGGTTGCGTTGACGAGGAACACACTACGTAGTTGGTTTGTTAGTTGCGCTAAATGTCTTAGTGCTTCCGTTCCGTCCGTCCGTCCGTGTGCCGGGGTGTCACGTGTGATTATGCTGGATTGGGTGGCTTTTCTATAAGTTATTGTTTATTATATTGAATTGTCTTACATGTGAATGAGTGTCTTTGCATATTATGCTTATATTATAGTTTGATCATATTTGTCGGCCATAAATCATTAATCGTCTTCTACCAATGTCGGACACTAACCAGGACTTGTTCTCTCGGATCCAATTGGATGGAGGACTGCTGTCCTGTCACTAATCCCAGGCGCGTGAGGATTTGCCATACTAGCTTGCGCTTCAGGTTCTCTCGGACGGGAATCTTCTCGAGCGCGTCATACCCGTTGAAGTATTTGATAAAGGTGGGCCAGAACTTCTTGAGCGATGTTCGAAGTCCTGCGTATTCAAGGTCCCCTTCGGGGACTTCGCCTTGAAGTTCGGGGAATCGTGCCATGAGCTCGCCTAACCATCGGGACTCCAGTGGTGATGCACGGTGCGGGTACAGGATGAGCGATGATGTCTTCAAGGACGTGTTCTGGTCCAGGAGAGAATGGGAGAGGTCGAGCTCGTTGTTCCGTTTATACCGACCTGGCATGGGCGTTTCATCACCGCTTCCGTTGCTGTCCAGTGATGATGATGAAGAGGAACTGGCATCATCAAGGTCCTCCTTTATCTCGGTATCTGACGCTGATCCCCTTTTGCTCAGATATTTGTCAACTTCTTCCTGTCGAAGAGCTGTCTCCACAGCCATCTTGATTTCAGGGCTTATTTTGACTCTTGCAAAGGCCCGCAATTGAGTGACCCAGCCACCTCGTAGTAGCCACGCTAAGATGGCGAAGTACGTGTCTTTGTGGTCTTTGCTTGGAATGAAGCTTCCGTACGGTCTGGGCGTCCCGCTCATAGCTGATAGCATCTTGGGGAGACTTGGGAGGGTCGGGAACGCTGCCTGATAAGCTGCCGTGGCTACCTCAAGCTTGCTCAGATCGCAGTTTGGTGATACGACATAAGTGTCCCTTTGATGGAGCGGAGGGATTGCTCGCGCTCTTCTCCAATACACAAGATGGCTAGCCAGCATCTGAATTGTGGAAAGCGGTATGCCAGAGGACACAGATATGTGCGCAAATGACTTCGTCGGCTTCGAGCATCGGATATAATGGGCAAGCGCAGGGGCCAGAGCACCCCCGGATGCTTCAACGTCTTTGAGAATTGATGCCTCATTGTCCAGCAATAAGAGCGCGAAATGTTTAGCAAGCACTTGATGGGGGGCGGTGTTCTCGTCCGCAGTGGGATCATCGACCGGAGTGACACTGTCCGCCGTTGTAAGCCAGAGACCCGGATATGCCTTGTCAGTGGGCCCAGGAAGCCATGGCGTCGAAGTCAGAGGTGGTATCTGGAGCGAGATGGACACGTCTGGACTCAGGGACACCGACGCAATCTTTGATGCGGATATGCTGGTGAACACAGTGCAGATAGCCCTCGCAAGTGAGGACTGGCTGATTAGCTCCGAATAGAGGCTATTCACGGACATTCCTGCTCGTCACTCGGTCAGCAACCAAATTCATTCCAAATCGACAGGACCACATACGCTTCTCTTTAGCCTTCTCCTTGATATGTGAGATATGCTGCGCCTCCTTCCAAACATAATCCGTCCTAGCCTGCTCCCACTTCAACGCCTTCGAGAACTTCTTAATAATATTATCGTAAATCTCCCTCAACCGCATGGAATATTCCAACAACGGCGGATCCAAAACAAACACGACATTAAACATAGTCATGCAATCCTTATCATCCGGATCCAGCGCCTCACTCAACGTCCTGAACGACCTAACACTAATCATCGAGGTCCGCTGATAATCCGTACTAGCCATCTGCTTCGGACTCAACGTCTCCGTCGAAGCAGCAATAAGCTCCGTACCCCGATCAGGGCTATCATCCTCAGCCTCAGCCTCATCACCCCCATCCCCATCCCCAGGTGCCTCATTATGTCCTAGTTCCGCTCCCTCCCAAGTCGCACGAGGCTTCCTCTTCTTCCTCCTCTGCTTCCTCCACGTCCCATCCTCACGCACAAAAACCGGCCATCCCACAAACGCCAAATCATTAATCCCAACCTCAAACCGCCGCTTATGCCACGACCGCGACGGACTCAACAACTTCTCCCACACATCCGCAGGGAGCCCCAATAACGACTCCCAGGGGGGCCGAAACGGCCCGGCCTCATCCTCCTGTCTATCCGACGCAGCGCCCGCATCCTCCTCCGCATCGGAATTTGTCCCTCGTTTCCGCATCATCAGCCCCCGCCCGGACCCCACTGAGCCTGCACGCTGGGACTCTCCGCCCGGCGAGCCGGATATGGTTCCATCATCAACGACGCCGAAGTTACTCGACCGTCTTCCTGCCACGGGATGACTGCCTGCGATGTGCGAGGCGTTCTGGGTGGGATTGGCTGGCTGCGTCGCAGTCCCGGTGGTTGTGGGAGCTGCTGCAGTTGCAGTTATTGGTGTCTCGTCCTCATCTTCGCTAGAGGTGGAGCTGCTGTCTTCGCTGGAGCTGGAGTCGTTGCTCTTGGAATTCTTCCGTGACGGTCGTCGCGCTTTGGGCGCCCCTCGAAGTCCGTTCTCGCTGAGCGGGTTGGGTGGGTAATGGAAGACGAAGCGCGGACCGGCTCGTGAGCGCACTATTAGAATGATTGCTACCAGGCAGGGGTCTGGTGGCCGTGCAATGGACGACATCGGTCGTGGGTGGGTGTTGGGAGTTGGATTGCTGGGAGCATTGGGTGAACTTCAAGGGACGGGCGGAGAGTGATTTGATCGTTTTGGGGTTGGTGTTCTGGCGGGTCGGTTTCCCCGCATGACATTGCATGGTTACGTTGTTTTTGCTTCGACGTTATGGAGCAGGCAATTTGTCAAGAATTGTACCTATATTTTTTTCACAACATTATCTAGGTATACTTCAATTGAATGCACATCAAAGTGAGGTATGATACACAAGCTATATACAGAACCGCAATCCCAACGCCGGAAATGGAGAAGTATCTATCTATCCATCCATCATTAATCATCGAACACAAAAGTACCCTATTTATACAGAGGCCATGCCATCCCCCAATATCATACAGCTCCCCAAGCTATCTAGTATAGAATTCCGGCTGGAGAAAACTATACCTTCTTCTCCGCACCCTCCGCACCCCCACTCGATGTAGCCTTATCCTTCTCGAACACCAGCCCGAGGTTCTTGAAATCGTCCGGTGCCATAAGATTGCTAGAGACGAATCGCAAGTAATTAGCTATGACTCCTTCAATAGCGTATATGCAGAGCAAGAACATACTGGTCCATCCGACAAGACAGATACGACTTGGCCAGTTTCCGGCACTCGTCATCGTTCACACCTCGTCTCGATTTCAGGCACTTGAGGTAGTCGGTGATGAGGTGCTTGCATTCGCCTGGTTCAGCAGTAGAAGGGTAATGTGTCAGTTATATGTCTGTGTCGAATGGGTACATAGAGAAAGGGTTCGCGCAAGGCTCAATACTGCCGGCGAGGCGGGAAAAAAGGCTGGTTTGCAAATTAGACGGAAACGAAGGGAGGACTACCATCGTGATCAAGAGGGAAGCTGCCACGCTCGGGACTAGATCATAGGGGGATTATTAGCTCAGTCTGTTTCTTCCGGGACTGTTCACTGTCTATAGGCATATTCCAAAGCCGGGAAGGGTATAACTCACGGCGTAGGCTTCATGGGGGCGGCACCGCCACCGGGAGCTCCGAAACCCATGATGACAGAGTAGTACGTATATTCCGAAGCTGATAAATCAATTGATAACGAATCAATAATTGACTGGCCCAATATGTCGTCCTCTGTATCTGACAATTGCCGGGCTCGATAGTTGCTGAAAAACGGCACGGCGAGTGGTCCGATAAGTACAAACAAGACAATCGTGACAAACATGTAGACAAACAGAGCAAACATCTGCTGATGTATGAAGTGTCATGCATCGAGACACGGCAGAGATAATGAGCTCGTGACGCTAAACTCTCTACAGTACTGTGCCAGTATATTCTATTATGTACCAACTATGTCCTCATTCTATACCATGAAGGAAGTTTCTCTAGTTGTACTGGAATAGCAAAATGCGGGGTACCCAACCGCAAAACGATGCAACAACAACATGCAGAGGTGAAAGATGACAGACCAATGGATAAAGAGTAAGCGACGATAGCTGCATGGTATCCAGTGCTATCCGAGCGTCGCGGCGAATCCAAGTTTGCAAGTGCGGAGTCATTGACCCAGCCCCTCATGGATCCAGACAATCCGAGTTTGCATGACAGGTCTCTCATATACCAATGACGTTGTTGCATCCGAGGCCGTTCCGGACACGGTCCTGGTATATAAATTAGTAGTCGCGATCCTTTGTCCTGTCGAACAAGATTCCTTTACTGTCAGTAGTAAAAGTCACGCTTCGCACTTGACAATACTATACTATTCTCCCGAATACGTACTTGACCACTTGATCAATATGCCGATGTAGGTCCCTGCCATACTGATGAATTCTCGTGTACACGACACAGACATGATACGAGCAGTATTTGTCGAATAGATACTAACAAAGAACACAGGAAACTTGAAGGCAGCTGCCAGTGTGGCAGCGTTGAGTTCACGCTCGAATCCTCAACCCCAGTTCCCTATCAACTATGCGCCTGTAGCATTTGCCGCAAGGTCGGCGGATACAGTGGCAGCGTCAACCTGGGCGGTATTGCCGATAGCCTGAAGATCAAGAAGGGAAAGGACTTGATCAAGTATGTCATGCCAGTCTTCTTTCCGAGCCCGCGGTCTTTTGCCGGCCTCGAAATATTCTTCTATGACTGTTGGAGATGGCAGCTCAGAGCTGACCGGTTTAGGAAATATTCCGCCGTCATGGCGAGAGGCACACCGGATGAGAAGATCTGTGCGTCGGAGCGGAATTTTTGTTCCAATTGCAGCACCATGCTTTGGCTGTGGGATCACCATTGGCCAGAGCTCATTCATCCTTTTGCTTCGGCCATTGACACGGAACTGCCGGTCCCTGATGAGATGGTCTGCATCATGGAGAGCTCTAAGCCGGCTTGGGTGCGATGGCCAGAGGGGAAGAAGCAGGTATTTGATGGTTACCCAGAGCATAGCTTGGAAGACTGGCACAAGAAGCACAAATTGTTCTTCGAATAAATGAGACACTTTAGGTGACGATGATACGAAGTTTGACAAGATGTGAACTATGTTTTACAGAAAAGTGGGAGCATTGTTTGGAGACTTGAACTCATTATCATTATCATTATCATTGAAGTAGCTATCCATAGGCGAGTGACCTGCACAATGCAATGTTAGCAGCTGTATAAACAGACACTGATGCATAAATGTGTATGGGTGAGAAGTTCAGGTCTCCAAGGTGAATCTTTGTTGTTTCGTCAAGGTGGTTCGGTAAGAACACAGCGATTTAAGAATTCATCATGCAAAAATGAAGAAAACACGACAGGGGATACTCACACTTTGGAAGCTTCATTGAATATCTACAAGATGTTCCCTATTACTTTTCGACAAAGTTAGCATCACATGCAAGACATAGCATGAGTGACACAAGCATTGAGATGTCAACGAAGTCAGGCTATGAAACAGGTTAGCACAAGCACATTGGTATCAGGGTATGATCACTACCAACCTCATTAAATCAGATTTTTTTGTAACATGTTCATTTCCAAACACATGGCGTGCAGGATCAAACAGTGTGAATAACAAGATTCATCATGTAATGTTGACTTTGGGTATATGGGCATATGGAGAGGGTGTTTAAGAGTGACAGTACCTGTCATGACTTGTTAGTATGACTTGGATCGAAATTTTCTGGTAATCGCAGAACGATCGATGAAAGCTCAGGTGACGAGTTCTCAACAATGTGTACACTTCCCCAACACCCGCAAAGTTTGTACGCTTTGCTTTTGATGGATGCGGGTCAATGCACACGTTCTGTCCGCCCGTTCGTTCAAAGTATCTTCATCGACGGCCAACAATGGCATAGAGATGGAATGGTTGGTATTTACCTATCACCAGCTAGTTAGCAATGGTCACAAACAGGCTGAGTGAAGCAATGAAGTTATTTTGGAGTTGTCAGACAAGGCTGAAACTTGAGTTAAAACACGAATTCCACATAGTGATTAAGTTTGAGGAATGCCTTAAAGCGTGTCATAGGGTCATCATACAAGGGGAGGAAGAACATATAGAAGAACGCTGTGCTCGCATACCTTTTAAATATTGAATCATACATCATGTCGTCAGAAGATGTTCGTCATCATTGGACCATCTATAGTAGCGAAATGTCAGCAAGAGTTCAATGCAAACACGAAGCCGCAGGCAATGATGGTTTCTTTGGTATCAGAGTAATTCTAGAGACTTTTGGAAGGTCCTTCATGCATTTTCGGCCGTGGATACTCCTGTTAAGGAATTCATCCTGATATGGTAGGGATGTATAACTGAGGCAGTAAAATTCGTGAACTCACATCTTCATTGACAAGGCATGCTCAAATACAATCAATCATCATTGACTGTATTGAGCATGACAGTAAACCAACTTGAGTAAGTTGGGTTGTCGACTAGTGCATCTTGTTGATGTGGTTGCAAACTTGGGCAAGTTGAGAAAAAAATTATTGTGGGTTGCGCCGCGGTTTTATAGGTGGGCAGTTAACACCACGGCTAGCGAGTATCACCAAGAGCGTTGTTTGACCAGAAAGCAAACACTTCAGTGTCGAGGACCCACCCAACTAGTACCATTACTGCTACATCTCTTACTGTCTAGAATATGCGTATCTACAAGCTTTTAAAGGCCATAAGAGTTGCCGAAGTTGAACCAATCAGTCATTATTCGAAATTAACTAGGTCGCCGAATGATGGATTGTTCGATCCCGTAGGGCAATGCCTCATGAACTCTACGCTTTCCTACTTCAAACATGCTGGTCCTAGCTTAATAGTTCTGGTCTCGTCGCTGAAAAGGCTAGGGATTGGGACTTTCCAATCGATAGACTTGTACAAAATTTGGAGATTTACTCATGGGCTGGGTATCAGCTTCAGCCTCTATTCCAAGCTGATTATATTGCCTAAACACTTCAACGGACCCCTTAATAGAATATTCTCCTTATCACTATCTACTGTCACCAAACAGCAATGATTGAGCTGGTCTTCCAGATCATTAAGACCAAGATGGGATAGTAGCACGTCAAAGTTTCGAACTATCACATATATGTCGCTGTGGATGCTGAATCCCCAACTAGATCCACCGAAGTCTACCCAGAGGTGATGAGAGGCCTGTTTCAGATGGCAATTAGTCGGATATCAATCAAATCTGTCAATTGAATACTAACGAAACATACCGCATTGCTGATGTTTTCAGTGCTGTTTCTTTCTACCTGACTTGTGGGAGGGCTTCGTGATGATGTGATGCGTTATATGCAATGTATGCTTCATTCTTACATTCACCTACAGTGTCTAAACCGCGATTGATCGCTCGTATTCCCTCCTACAAAGTACCCGCGTGCAAAAGATCGTGCCAAATGTGGAGGTATTGTGAGGTTGACAAGATTGCCAAAGCGAAAATGGCAAAAGACCTGCAGATGACCACAAGACAGATCGGGCTCAAGGACCTGTCGAAAGCTGAAAACTGTCTTGAGCTAACAGAAGAGAAAGGTTGGGGCGATGACTGGTCAGCAAGATCTATATGGCTCAATAACTCACTCCTAGGACCGACCATCCATGGATTGTTGTCATGCCTCTAAAACTCATGGTTGATGCCTCGGAGTGGACGCCATGTCAACCTAGCAGCTGATTTGCAAGCTTCAATCATTCCACTATGATCGATTTCCTCTACTTCAAAGAGGATGGAAATCTGTTAAAGCTTTCACTGGTCCTGTCTCACGCGCATATACACCCAATGGATTTCGGCCATCGTGGCTCACAAAGAGTGGGAGGTTGGATATAGTTTTAAACTCCGAAGCAAAACATCGTATGGCACCAGGTAGTACGCCGAGAGACTGTCTTAGTAAGTTTCTGCAGCTATCTAGTACTTACCCAGCGCTTTGCCTGTCTGGATTTGCTGTGTACAGAGCGACCCAACATCAGGATATATTGACTAGACTTACAGTGGAGAATTGGTACCTGCTGGGTAACAGAATGAGGTAAACCCCCTCGAGCACGCCATTAGCGTAAAGTATGTTGGGCTTCGAATCGTCCAGAAACGCTCGAGTAATGCGCCCTGATTGCGATTTGTTGCAACATTAACTGTGTAAGCTCCGCTGAGGGCCAGTCTGGATCGGAGCTTTAGTGGGTCCGTCTCAAAACGTCATCGGCCCTCTCCCGACAGAAACCCAAAGTTCTATCTGCGTCAATTTGACGTCGATCCATGTTTATGATGCTGTGTTCACCAGGATTTTGTAATGTCATTTTGCGCCGGAAGATGGCCATAAAAGGAGCCTTCTTCCCGGCCAGCCGTTGTTCACCAGCACATAATACCCATTGACTCAATCATACTTCAATTGACGCATACTACTCAATATGACGACCACATTCAAGCTCAACACCGGCGCTCAAATCCCTGCCGTTGGATTTGGGACTTGGCAAGACGCAGAGGCACAGGAGCAAGCTGTTCTCGAAGCCATCAAGGCGGGATATCGCCACATTGACACTGCCAGAATGTGAGTTCTCATGCTCACTTCATCGAGTCAGTCGGTACGCTGACATGATTTTGCAGTTATGGAACAGAAGAGGCCGTAGGAAAAGCAATCAAGAAGTCTGGCGTTCCCCGTGACCAACTTTTTATCACCACCAAGCTCTGGAACAACAAGCATCACCCCGACGATGTAGCGCAGGCGCTTCAGGACTCGTTGAACGACCTCGACTTGGAATATGTCGATCTATTCTTGATGCATTGGCCTGTGGCCTTCAAGAGAGGAACTGAAAAGTTCCCCAAAAACGAGAGTGGCAAGCCAGCTGTGGAGGATACTGACTACGTCGATGTATGTATTCCATCCCCGTACACAACACCAACTACGCCCGAAGAATGCGCTAACTTACCACCTCTGGTAGACATACAAAGCCATGGAGAAGCTCCTTTCAACCGGAAAGGTGAAAGCCATTGGCGTCTCCAACTTCTCCAAGTCAGAGATGGAACGTCTCCTTCAGAACAGCTCCGTCGTCCCTGCAGTCCACCAGCTCGAAAGCCACCCATGGCTGCAACAGCGTAGCTTCGCCGACTGGCACAAGTCAAAGGGCATCCATGTCACCCACTACTCTCCGTTCGGAAACCAGAACGAGCTATACTCTCGCGAGGGCACAATTGGCAAGCTGATTGATGACCCCGTGCTGGTCGAAATTGGAAAGAAGTACAACAAGAGCTCTGCGCAAGTAGCACTTGGTAGGTCCCATATCATCTATCTTCGCGAAGAAGGAAGCTAACGCTTGTAGCCTGGGGTATCAACGAAGGACACTCAGTACTTCCCAAGTCAAAGACTCCATCTCGCATCAGAGACAACCTCCAAGGCGACTTCAAGCTAGACGCCGAGGATCTCCAGAAGATCCGGGGCATTGACCGTAAGCTCCGCTTCAACGACAGCAGCGCCGACTTTGGCCGAGAATTCTTCGGCGACTTGGACGGCAAGCAGAAATAAATTGGTATCTTGCAGCTTACATGTCTATTAATTCTAAATGAGGAAACGAAATGCAACGAATACAATATTACTCATACTTATGTGCTCCCCTCAACACCCCCACGAACCTCGTGTTCACCATCCCCTCGTAAATATAGCGTAGATCAGTAAGGTAGTAAAATTAAAGTTCAATGAACGATGCCGTACCACTATTCCGATGATTTGGGGTCTGAACTGTATGCTATTCTCATCTGGTCGGGTCACCTGCCATACACATAGCTACTTCCATACGAGCCTCGTAGCTATTTACTTATGCTTCTCACTCCGCAATTATCCCACCCCGTCATATCCAATCATCCACCTCTCTCATACATACCATCACCAATATTAACAAACATCTACTAGTAACTCCATAGTATATATACTAAACAACAATGCCACCCTCCAAATCAGAGGACACCCCTCCCCCCGCACCCCATCGTCATCAACTCTCCTACCGAAACTTCTCCAAGCGCCTAATCCTCTCCTACATACTCGACTGGATTCTCATAATGTACGTCCACCCCAAACCACAACCCCCCCAAAACTAAACACTACTAATCCAAAAAACTTACCCCAGCGGAGTCGCCCTCATCGGCTACGGCTTCAACCAAACAACCCCCAACCACCGACCCTTCTCCCTCACCGACCCAAGCATCTCCTTCCCCCACAGGAAAAAAGATACCGTCTCAACGGGCGTGCTAGCTGTGGTAGCGGTAGTAGCTCCAGCCGTGATCATCGTCTTGATCTCCGTTCTCTTTATCAATCCTGCTACTACCGGCTATGTTGGTTCTAGTGTCCAAAATGCTCGAGGAGAAGCTCTAAGAAGGAAGTTTATGATAAAGCTCTGGGAATGGCATGCAGGATGGATGGGACTAGGAGTTGCTCTTGCGGGAACGTTCATGGCTACGGAGGGACTGAAGGATCTATATGGGAAGCCGAGACCGGATATGCTGGCTAGGTGTGATCCGGATTTATCTGCGGTTAATGACTATGCGGTTTCAGGATTGGGAGGGAGAATTGCGGGTGCGCCTACGATGGTGACGTGGGAGATATGTCGCAATAAAGGGGATGAGATGCTGAAGGTGGATGGGTTTGCTAGTTTTCCGAGTGGGCATTCTTCTAGTGAGTTTTATCTATTATCAAGTTGGGATCTGATCTGACATGGGAATTATTCTAGTGTCGTTCGCGGGATTGATGTATCTCGCTCTTTGGCTAAGTGCTAAATTCTCCATTGGGTTCCCCTTCCTGGCGTATTCGCCGCTCAGCCAGGATTTGCAAAGACAGGATCGTGGGAAGATCCGAAACCAGGGTGCCGCTCCTCCTGTCTATATGCTCATCGTTGCATTAGTGCCTATTGCGGTGGCCTTCTTCGTATCCGCATCGCGTTGGTTTGATTATCGCCATCATGGTTTCGATATCATATTCGGATCGGTCATGGGAATGGTCTTCGCGTGGATTGGTTTCCGACTATATCAGCTGCCCATTATTCGCGGTGCGGGCTGGTCGTGGGGAGCTAGGAGTCGCAAACATGCTTTCTTCATGGGAGTTGGACAGCCGAGCCACGTTTCTGCCGATAATTGGGTCATGATGAGCGACAAACGCGATGCTGCAGAGAGCAGGCCGCACAACGTTGATCTGGAAAGCGGTCGACCGGGCCCGGATGAGCGATGAGCAATCGCCCTCCGCGCTGTGGTGAGAGCTTGACATTATATTCACTTTGTCGGCTTCAGTAGACTTTGTCTCCTTCATCTCCATCGCGTTCAGGATATGAATTTATGCAGAGAATGGGCTAGGTGATGCCATAGTCGAACCGTGACCTCGATCAAAGCCGGTAACTTCATCACCTCCATCAAGTTGCCAAACCAACATGAATATCACCTCCACCCACCAACCCTCCCCTCATCCCATCTAGCCTTGGCCTCTCTCCTAGCTGCCAATTTGGCAGATTCCGCTCTGACCCGTCTAATCCAATCGCCGACCTCTTTCTCAGTCGCTCGTCCATGATGTTCCTCCTCCAAAAAGCTCTCCTCGACTGCCTGACAGACCGCCTCCTGCTCCGCAATCGAAGCAGCCAGCCGCTGATACAAAGCCTTAGGCGACCACGGCGCCAGCGCAGCATCCATCTCAGACTGCTTTTTCCGCCAGGAGACCTCAAGCGACTGATGCGTCAGAAGAAGGGTTTCGGTAGAGGAGCGTAATTCCCCGACATGAGACTGCAGTTCCAGCAAGCGGTTCGCAAGGTCCTTGTTATATTTCAGAAGAGTCTGTAGGTTATCCTGATGCGCCGTATACGAAGGATGGTTACTGGAAAGGGCGGAGATGAGATTAGGATCTTGAAGGATGGTCTGAAGATCGACAGTCCTGTCATCACAAAAAGAAAGTATCCATTAGCCCATATCCCAACATCACAGCAAGGAATAGAAGTAAAACGTACGATTTCTCCTTCACACCAGCAGGCAACCAGCCCTCCTCCACCGTCGGCGGCTTAGGCAGTGCATTCAACGAGGCAGCGGGGTTAAATGTCGCCGGAGAAGAAGAGTATCTCTGTCCCTGCATATTCAAGCGGTCCTGCGCATAATGTCCTTCCTGGTACTGTTGTGGTGTTCCGGGATGCGACGGGGTGCCCCTTCGACTGGCTTCGTGGCTGCTGGGTTTCGGGGGAGGCGGGGGAGGTGTGTCCGGGTTAAGTGCTGGGTTCATGGCGAATGGAAGGGACCTCCAGGAGGTAGTGACTAGTAAGCTGACAGCTGGAAAGTACCTGAAGAGGTGGGCAGACAGACTGAGGACAGGCAGCAATTGGAGGGATTGGTCGAAGCCAAGAGCAGCACTGGCTGTGACGCCCGAAATGCGGGGAAGGCCGATCATCACGTGAGTGGATGGAGGGTGTTTACAAGGCTACAGATAGGTACTAGTACAGTGTGTGGGAAATGGATGTGGGGGTTGTAAACGGCTTAAGGTATAATTCTTGGTCACATAAGGTAGTATGCTGCCTCTCTCAGCTGCCCGTCATGCTCTGTTCGCGTGCGCTGGGCGCAGGTATAGGGCCCTTGTTCATGGAGTGCCGCCTGGTTGAGGCACCACTGCTCCAAGTATCAGGTTATCGGTAAGAAAACTCTCTCTCCTGCTATGCTCGAAGTAATACCAGGCGCGGTATTATAGGTTTGTTCGAGCTGCAGGTCCAAGGCTCTAGGCGCGAATTGTTGCGAGACGTAAACGGCCTCTCCGGAAGACCTCCGAAACCTCCAAGCAGGAAACTGGGTATCCAGTGTTGTCAGAGGGCCGCAGTATACTGGTAATCTGCTATAATATTCTCCTTAATCCGTCCTGCGGCGCACCTCACGCTCCTGGGTGTTGATACCGGAGCCCGAAATAGCATCCATGACCAACTGGCGCAATTGGCTCTGCGTAGCTTCGCTGTGGAAATCCTCACGCGCGGCCAGCTCATCAATGCGCCGCTTGAACTCGGGGTCCACCTCGTCCATTCCCGCGCTAGCCTCCTGTTCCGACACTGTGCCCAGGTTCATCTGAATGTTCGGGGGAAGCGGCGGAGCTGGGTTTAGTGCATCGCCAGCCGAGTCGGCCTCTGGCTCTGGCACGCCTGCGACTTGCCGCAAATAAGCAGCAATTTGCGGGAAAGAGCCATCGCTCTCGATAGTCTCATAGGCTGCGAGGCCCTCATCGTTTCTCTTGTTGTAGTCCACGCCCAGTTCTTCAACAAGGCATTTCGCAATGTCGAGGCTTTCCGTCACAAACAGGCAGGTTTCACCATCCTCGTCGAGCAGGTTGACGTCCACGTTGTAGTCCTTCACAAGAGCACGTAGCAGGTCGATGTGTCCGTAAGAAGCCGCAGCATGGAGTAATGAATATCCATGCTCATCCTGGTTCGAGGCGATAGAGGGGTTAGACTGCAACAGCGTCAGGACGGCGCCCGGATTATCGGCGGCCAGAACGTAAGGGTTGGGTTGAGTCATAGCGCCGGTTTCACTAGTTGGAGAAGAATTATGAGTCAGTTCTGATAGTGTCTGGTGTCTTAGACAGGTAGTGCCGTACCTTGAGTCACACAATAATTCCAAATGAAGTGGTAATGGAGAAGTGAAGGCAGGATGTGTTCAGTGAATCGAGATGGGCGGATGTAAGTGGCGCGGGCGGAAAAAAGCGCTTTTTCAAAAAAGGATCGCTGCCCCGCATCTTCGATAAGAAACTCCTACTTTGGGACCCCGAACGAGGCTGACGGTGACTCAACTTTTTACTCTCATTTTACGTCGCGCGAGGCTGCATCTTAGCTTGGGATAAGCTTCTGCTTGAGAAGGTCGAGCTTGCTCTGTTAAAACCTAAGGCAATTCCTCCCTGGCCTTGTCGACAACACACCGCGCGTGCCTTCTGCCTTCTCCCCCACCTCCTCCCGCATCCCAACCCTTGATTCCCTCGCTTCTACCGAGTGCAACACACGAATTGCGTACTTATCTGGATTTAATACGCGCGAACCCGAGAGATCACAATGGTGCAGCAGGACGAGCGGGAGGTCGCCGAGCTGGTCACCAGCCTGGAGGCTGCCAGCAGGAAAGGCACAGCTCACGGGAAGAAGTCCGGGTTCAAGTGCAAGAAATCAACCTTTGACGTTGAAAAAGCAGACAAAATCAAGGTGCATTCGTGGAAATTCATGGACTGGGATTACAAACGCGACGATTTGCCGACCTATGCGCGAGGACTGTTCACCACCCAGAGGAAGGATGGCACCCAGGAGATTGCGGTTCGCGGATACGACAAGTTCTTTAATGTGGATGAGGTGAATGACACAAAGTGGAGGAACATTGAGATGAACACCAGGGGACCCTACGAGCTCAGTGTGAAGGAAAATGGTTGCATTATATTCATCTCTGGTCTTGAGGATGGCACTTTGTTGGTCTGCAGCAAGCATTCTACGGGTGTTCGTTCCGATACAAATCTCAGCCATGCTCAAGCTGGTGAACGCTGGGTCGAGCGACATGTCAGTTCTGTTGGAAGGAGTGTAAAGGACTTGGCACGAGAGCTGCGCAGACTGAATGTCACCGCAGTAGGCGAGCTCTGTGACGACAGTTTCGAGGAACATGTCCTTGCCTACGACGAAAGCGCTTCGGGTATCTATCTACATGGACTCAACTTCAACGTGCCTCAATTTGCCACGCAGCCTAGCACAGAAGTACACAAGTTCGCCGATGCGTGGGGCTTCAAGAAGGCCAACTTTGTTGTGTATGAAGACCTCGATCAGGTCAAGAAATTCCTCGACAACTGTGCTGAAACAGGCACCTGGGACGGCCGCGAGACCGAGGGATTTGTGGTCCGATGCCACATGGGCGATAAAGGACGGGCGCCATACCGGGATTGGTTCTTCAAGTACAAGTTCGAAGAGCCTTACTTGATGTACAGACAGTGGCGCGAGTGCACAAAGGCAGTTATTGCAGGAAAGGTTCCTAACATCAAGAAGCACAAGAAGATCACTGAGGAGTACCTCCATTACGCGCGGAGACAGCTCGCTAAAACCCCTGGACTCGCACAACAGTACCAGCAAAACCACGGCATCATCTCTTTGAGAGAGGGTTTCTTGCAAGAGAGAGGCCTCAACGGATCTGAAATTATCCAAATGGAGTCTGACGAATCCGGCGATGTGACGCACGACGTGATTCTTGTCCCCGTCGCTTCACTGGGCTGCGGCAAGACGACGGTGGCTTTGGCTCTCTGCAAGTTGTTTGGATGGGGACAGGTGCAGAACGATAACATTCCGAAGCAGAAGAACAAGCCAAAGAAATTCTCCTTGGACATTACCAATCTTCTGGCCCAACATCCTGTGGTAATAGCAGACCGGAACAACCACATGCGACGCGAACGGCAGCAACTCATAGAGGATGTGTCGGTTGTGATTCACAAAGCTCGCTATGTCGCGCTCCAGTATGTCCACGAGCCCAAAGGACAATTGCTTCCTGGCATCCGCGAGGTAACGCGGAGACGAGTCCTTGACCGGGGAGACAACCACCAAACCATCCGGGCGGGAAGCAAGAATCCAGAGGAGGTCATTGGAATCATGGAAGGTTTCCTGAACCGGTTCGAGGCTGTCGACACCGATCGTGAGCCAGACTGCTACTTCGACCAAGTAATTGACTTGGATGTCGGTGCTTCTTCGCGTGAGAATCTGGAGACAGTGGTGAAAGCGCTACACTCGTTCTATCCCAAGCTCGTGAAAGAGATTCCGACGGCCGAGCAACTGGATGACGCTATCTACTGGTCGATGAACGAATACCAAGTGCAGCTGGACTGGAGCCATCAATATGGATCCCAGAAACCGAAGAACAAGAACAAGAATCAGAACCTGAACCCCGGCAGCCCTGCACCCACAGCCGGTCCCACCCCCGAAGATCTGGCCAAGAAGATCGAGTACTTCAACATCTCCCTACCCCCTGCAGAGGTGAAAAATATCCTCGAGTCTCTGTTTCCCCCGTCTACAGCTCCCGAACAAGCACGTCTCTACAGACAGCTCATCAACAGCAGACGTGTACAGCCCACCTTCCACGTGACATTGATCCACCGCGCCTCGAAGAAAGAACATCCCGGCATTTGGGACGAATACGTCCGCCAGTACATTGAAAAGATGAAGAGCAAGCCCGAGTCTGATCCCACCATCACCCCAACGCTGGCTCCGGCTCGCGTACGTCTTGAGCGTCTCATCTGGGACAACCGTCTCATGGCATTCGTAGCGCGGATATTCCCACCAGAGGACCAGAACCTGGCGGAATGGCCGTGCGCAAACGAGACACCCCATGTCACCGTGGGAACTGCGTCGCCAGATGTGAAGCCCAAAGAGAGCAACGATCTGTTGAAGTGGTGGCACGAAGTTGGCTCGGGAGGAGAAACCGGACTTTGGGAGGCCGAGATCCCAGGCGTGAGGGTTGTAGAGGGAAAAGTAGGTGTGGTGATGAGTCGGGGCAAATAAGTTAATGACTGATGACGACGAGTCATGAGTGATGATTGCAAGAGAAAAGTACATATTTAGTTACTATAGACATGAAAGTCGCCTGGTTTGGCATGCAGTATCTATCCTTTGCTCTACTGGACAGAGTAGTAGAGTATCATATCGAATAACTACGTTAGACAGAAATCCCTGTGGAATTGGTAAAAAGCAGACGAAGAATCAAGGGCTAAACAAACCATGGTTATCTCTTCATAGTCGAGTTGTCTTGGATGTGTGTTCTATCTTCAAGTTATAGCTGGAAAGCTAAGTTCATACTCTCTCATAATAATTCGTAGAAGTCTAGAAAGACCATCAATGCAATATGAATTGAAAGGGTAATAGTTTCAAATTTTTTTCTTCCCCCCAAGGATGCATTGAACATATTGTCCCCATTCGCTCCGAACTAGCCAGCGATATGATGTTACTCATTCTGACCTACTTTACAAACCCGATTCTTCAACACAACACAACATCTCCATCCCCTCTAGCCGCGCGCAGAACCTCCTTCATCCGAGTCAAATCCGCATTGCTCGTCGCTCATCCATAGGAAGCCGATAATGATGAACACAAACTGGAGACCATTCTCATTGATATCGAATCGATCCGATGCAACTCCCCCGAGACGATCAAAGGCCCATATCCTCATGAAGGATCCACATATGGTAAAGCCTAAGACAAACCGACGGGTATCCTGGGCAGCAAGGACTTCTCTAGCGCACCTCCCCAAATCGAGCCATGTATTCGCAGCGGTATCGGCTGCTGCATTGCTTTTCAACACTCCAGGTACGAGGATTTCTGCACAAAGGCACTTGGTATCTTTTCCTGCATTGATGTCGCTGACAAAGCCAATGTCTAGCTCGCGCTCTTCCGTAGAGCCTTGAATGGGCCTGTTGGGTCGGGCTATTGGCCTTCGTGCCTCTGCCGACTCGGGACGGTAGTCTTGTGAAAGGTCAGCAAGTTTATCAGCCAGATCTGAGAACCAAGTCAAGACGTCTTCCTGGTTTGCATCTCCTGGCCAGCCCTCCCATCTATCAGCTACAAAAAGCGGATTTATGCCTTTCCTGCATCTTTGGAATACGGCCCGGGACGCTTCTTGCAAACCACTTACGCATCCAAAAAAAAAAAAAAAAAAAAAATATGCGGCGTGAAATTGCGGGATTCCAACGTACAGAGGTCCAATCTCAGCCATGAGAATTTGATCCATATATTGGCGGTGCTCGGAGAGGGTTGCAAATTGCAAAGCTACTTGTATTGTGGATCCGTTGGATTTGTTGGGAGGAGGCATGGGTGTATTCATTAACTGCATCATCTATACATTCCCAGATATTGTTTTCTGACGTGCAAGCAATAGCTGAAGCCAATATAGGCTGTACAAGGGAGAGATCAAACGCTTCGGACAGTATTATTGCAGACTTCAATATCTGAATATTGTCCAGGGCAGCGGCACGACTATATGTGGGCATTAATTCGAAAATCGCAGAGTGTTCCAGGTCCAGCAAGAGCTGAAGGGTGAGGTTTCGGATATCTGTGTGCAGTTTAGAAATAGAGAGTGGGAGGTACTCAGAAATCACCTCTCTTTACCTGTTCGTGGAAGATAATTGAGCGCATCAGACGTGCAGGAGAGATCGTTTGCTTCACAGAGCGAATTAAACAGTCTGGTGAAGTTCCTATTAAGAGCATTCTGAATGGGACTCTCGTTTATCGTATTGACGCGGGGGTCGTCAGCCATGTTAGAACAGATACTGATGCTACAGGTCTTTTCCAAGGGGGAAGATGTCGCTAGATGCGGGCTGCTGGTAAGTAACATTTATATATTGTACTCCGTGTGGTTGCATGTCCTACGAGACACAGAATATAATAACCACTGAGACATAATTCTATGTCTGCTCTTCTGGTATTTTCTGAGATTTATAGAAGAAAGAGGGAAAAAAAGTTTTGTAGGCAGCAGAGGTGATTTTGAATAATCATGCAGGTGATATTCACTGTAGTCAGGCACTAATACTCTGATTTCTTGTCGTATCTTTTCTTTAGGTGGCCTGTCCTTACCGGCACCAACTGATGTCTTGAGACCTGGTTCAATATTATATAAACATTCGAAATTCGCCCCTGCCATTCGTCTTGAAGTTTCTGGTTGTGATTGTCTGTTTTTGTTCAGATGTATGATGTCATTACTGTTGACACTAGAACCAGAAAAAGTTGTTCGATGTTATTATATGAGTTAAAAGCAGTTGCATTTTACCGAAAAGGGCTAGTAGTATAATTAAGGAAAAATGAAGGGAAGGGGTAGGTTTAAGGGGTTCTACTATCGGTTCGGTCGACCCAAGTACTTAAGAATCAAATAGCTAGGAGACATTACATAGTAGTACCTATATACTAGAAAGCTTCTTCTGTCAGAGAAAGTCCTTGCGTCAAGTAACAGTGATACTAGTAAAGGATCCGAGCAGTGCTGACGATAGAGGATCGTACCATACTCAGGAAGAGGAAGACTCGCTCCCCTCTCTATAAACTCTTTTTGGCTTCCCAGGAATCAACATATAGCTGTGATTGCCCGTTCTGACCAGTCGCGACAAAATACGAGCCTGCTGTACACCCGTAGACGTTGCAATAAGGTCGAGTATCTGCATGATCCAATCCTTTGTGTGAGGCGATATACCCGCACAGTCCGAGGCAAGATACAAAGGCCATGGCAATCGAGCGACGGCCCCCAGGGCAGCGTCGCCTGAAGTGAAAAAGTACGGGACGCTAGCGCAGATGTCCTCTGCCAGTTGTTTATTGATGGAGATAGACTTGTGCATGAGCTGGGGTGAATCAGGACTTGCCTGATGGAGACACATCGCTTGAATCATCTCGTGGAGAATGATCCGCGCTTGGCGATAGTGGTTCCAGTACACTGCGTTGTCGATGTTTGGATATACGTGATATTCCGTGTCGTGGCTACGGAAGTGTGAAAATGTCAGTGGGGTGTTGATGGTCGTATACTGCCAGGTTGGGCTTAAAGAAGTCGCCCATGAGACTAGGTCGGCGTCAAGGTCTAGGGCTGCTTGGATTAAAGGTGCGATGTTTCCGCGGAAGCCAGTCGTGTTATATGTCTCCTTTATTGTTATGGAGAGATCGTTGTATGTGACTAAGATGTTGTAAAAGTCTTCCATTGTCTGAGAATCCGCATCACTAATGGATTTTGCATATTTTGATAATGCAGCTATCGTTGGCGAGCGATGACAACTCGTTCTGAAAAATATGTTGATCATAGCCTAGGTATGACATGTTAAAACTCCGAGAATAGTGGCTATGATATGATTGAGGGATAGCTAACAATCTGTAGGCGTGTGCTGGCGAAGAGGCGCCGCCCAGCCGCTGATTCGAATTGCTGCATTCCTCGTAGCTCAAGGAGCTTCAACGCTCCTCGGGAGTGATTTAGCCAAGCGTCCATCATCTGTGATTGGCCTGAAATAATCTGTTCACTAGGGATTAACAACCCACCTATAAGCACCGGTTTTAGCCAGGCACATTACCTCGTACATACTCAGCGTGACCACAGCCCCCAAAGTGGAGTCCGAAGTAGCTAATACTGCATCCTGAAGACTCGTATTGGTGGACCGCAAGGCCTTGCTGTACTCCTCCGCAGCCGATCGTGCCAGTTCAGGCCGGTGGTAGATCCTCGACATGCATGCCAGCCCTATGGCTTTCATGGTGGCTTGAAGTGCATCCGAGGGGTCAGTGCGCAGCAAATTCGGCAAATAGCAGAGAATGCCGGGGTTTTGACTAGTGCCGACATAATACTTGAAGATGTGAGACATGGCTTGTTCCTGAATGTGGGTGGTGGGCCCTTCGATCAATGGCGGTGTCTTCGAACTTTCTGCACTGTCTGCAGAGGGGGATCGAGCGGCCTTGCGGGTACTGGCAGCTCGGGCCAAGGCCTTGGTGGTTACAGCGGCCGTTTGATCAAAGAAGCGAAGAGCGTGGAGGTCTTGGTACCCGGGGCATTCTTTATCTATCCGCAGACATTGGGAGCATGCAGGTCGCTCCTGGTCGCACTACTGTATGGTCAACAGTCAATCATCCAGGCGTGAAGGTGCATCGACGTACTTTTAGGCGCCGCTTCCGGCATAAAGCACACCCTGGGCTGGGCTTTCCTCTGTAAACCATGTTGGCCTGAAAGGGTATGTGGTTCGGAAGGTGGGCTTAACCTTGAGACTATCCCCGCTTTAAAGGTCCATGCTGAGTTGTCGGGGTCGGAGCTTGTTACGAAAAGGAGACTAGAAGCAGACTCAGCCGCGTGGCATCAAAGCTAGATCGGTTCCACTGAGCCTCCATAGCTGGACGAAGCGTATACTCCAATCAAATAGCCACTCATAGGTGTCAGATTGAGCTTAGCAGTGTTGGTGTCGGCTCGAAGAAGCTTGTTCTTGAACCAGTGAGAGGGGAGTCATGCTGTATCATGAGTGGCACGTTAACCAGTTCCGAAGAGCCTTATTTATTAACTTAGAAGATGTGGCTTCAACCGGCACTGGGGAGTGCTTACCGCCAAAGTGATGAGTCTCTCGCTTGTAACTGACCTAATTAACCACCCCACTTTCTCCTCGGTTCAAGCTTGTCCTAATGCAGTAACCAGTTCGGTACTTACGGTGTATCCTGAAGCAGCGCTGGGGGCAGATGGCATTGATTGTTTCCTCGAACCATGAAATGTATATATTCATTGGTGTCAAACATTTGTAATGTGAAGAATTTCCGTAATATCAAGTCTCGTGTTTTAGCTGGAGCGTTACACTGCTAATCGAGTAAATGCTCTTGCTTTTGCCCAGTACCGCTTCGGTCGATAGTCCTCAGCTAAGAACTGGCCGATCGCTCATATGCGATCAACTGAGGGACTCACATTTCGCTGTGGAGCGGATACCGGCTGGCAAGGAAGTTGATATGTCTGTCGTCTTTCGAAGTATATAATAACTCATCCATCGTGATTGAGGCCTTCCATCACCTAATCCTAGTAATGACTGGCCTCCTAGCGTTGACACCCCTCCGGATCAATCTTTGTGCTGACCGACGCAATGGGGATCTCGCAGCATTATCTCGCGGCTCACGTGGGAAGTAAATGGTTCCAGAGGAGGAGTAAAGGTACTGGAGACGCAAGTAACTCAGCTCTGGCATCGCCGTAGACAAGAGTCTGAATAGACCGTCGAAGTGACCGTCAACATGAATCAGCCTCAAGTCCAAGTGCACCAGCCGAGTAAGCTGACGAAAAAAAGTCATGAGCGTAGCTTCAGACATTCGAGTGTCGCACAAGGTACACTTCTTCAAGCCCTGGAATTGGCAAGATTCTACTACCCGATTGAAGAAGTATAATTCCTCCCTCACCCCGGCCGTCTCGTCGAATTCATCATACTCCCATACCAGGTGCAGTTCCTCGAGATTAGGACAAAGGCTCAAAAGGTGTGCGAGTGATCGGGTGTTTTCCCGGGCTTCTTCGTAGCTCGGCGGTAACTCGAAATCGTCCTCTGGCCTTAAAGGGGATTCCCGGGGTCTAAGGAAATCTATCTTATGTATGTGGTGCGCCAGGCTTAGTCCTATCTTCTTGCATGGTTGGAATGCTGCCGCCAGCCTTGTCAAGTCCGCCGTGCTGCCGCCGAATACAGCGGGGATCTCGCCGAAAGGGAAGCTACAACGCCCCCCATATGTGTGAGAATAGCCACCTGCAAAGGCATCAAGTGACCGAATAGGCAGCCCAGAATTTTTGAGGGCTGACATTGTCACTTGAAACACTCTGTCGGTGAGAGCTCCCAGATAGCCGTTCCCGAAAACCTTGAGGGTAATTGATAAAAGCTCATCGTGCGGTGAGTTATTATGCATATTTGCAAACCCTTGCGCCAGTAACTCAAGCACTCTGGGGCTAACAGGGGGCACTTCTTCAGTGTGGAGGGCAATAGACGTATACAAAGTGAGATCCTGCACCCAAAGCCCGAACCGTCCTGGCTGGGTAACCCCAACAAACTGCTCAAGCGGGGCCTCCGCGATTTCCAATTTCTTGGAAAGGAAATATTTCCGAAATGCAGCATTAGACGATTTGACGGAGATGGTGCGTTTAGTCAGACGCAGAGCGCAGTGATCGTGGAAGTCTAGCCAAGCCACAATTTCCTCGATCAACTCCACCGGAAGGCTTTCAAGTGTCACAGACGCCATGGCCGGAGAGCAGTCTGGCGCTATTCAGGTTTCACCGGGGAAAGGAAGAGGGTAGCAGGAGAAAGACCCCAGTAGGCACTTGGCGAGATTAAGTATGGTTCTTGAGAAGTTGGACTAGTGACACTTGGTGGATGGTGGTTTATGTCGCTTTGGCGGAGTCATTGACGCTCGGGCCTAAGATATCAAGCTTTTGCCAAACGTGGATTGGCTGATCCGTGAGACATTACTTATCGCCATTGACCGGGGTCCAAATTAGAAGATGGGACCGTATGGTCATATGAGGCGTGTGTCGGTTTTAGCCGCTGCCCTACTGTCAATCAGTCTGCTGTTGGGCTGATGTCCAAAGAACTGGTCCGATGGTCTCTGTAGCGATTATGATTTCGGTTGGTTGGTGGTAAGGTGCTTTCCAGCTCTGATACGTTGATGATATCCGAGCCCTCGTCGTAGCAGGCCTTAGCGTGGCAAGACCCTGAACTAGGCGATGCACTAGACAGCCTCGAGGTTACTTCGAGGGGATATGATAGGAAAGCCGTATCCCAGCACATTCCTCTTTGGTGCCTGCAATACCTATCGCCAGATGTCACCGTCTTTTCTCATTTTAGTGTAGGATTAGTTAGTCCATTAGTACGCGCCGGACTTGTGAAATCCCTACCAAATGGACCTAGTACCTGGCGGTAGCAGTAGTTTTATAATGACCGGGCATCACCTGCGCCCGAGGTCGCCGATCTTGATTACGCAGCAACCGCAAGTCCAAAATGTCTGGCCTTCTGGGGAGCCGTTCCTGGTGGCTTCCATCACCGGGAAGCCGAGGGTTTTGCTATCTTTTCGTGTATCTTGCAGCTCTATTCACTCTAACCCCAGTTGTCCACGCTGCCGTCGCTGTCGAACCTGGAGCATTCGGTCAATTATCCCAGCTGGCAGATAACCCTTCTTTTTCCTCGGCCACAACCAACGAAGGCTCCGAAACGTGGTCACCAGTCACGAACTCGATGCAACTCGGTGATGGGAAGGAGGAACAGGACGCCTTGCAAATGATGACCTTTATGAAAGACGCGACCCAGACAGACTCAGCCTCAACCGTAATCTCAAAAGACACAATGCAAAACGGCAACCTACGAGTAATGATCGTAGGAGACTCCATGTCCCAAGGAAAAGAAGGGGACTACACGTGGCGGTATCGAATCTGGGAGTGGTTCCGGGCGCAAAACATTGCCGTTCAGCTGGTGGGCCCCTACACGGGGACCGCGCCGTCCGAACCGCAGGCCCACGGGGAGCTCCAGCACCAAGCCACGCTGGGCCAGCCCCCGACCAGCGGCGGGTACGCCCCTGACGTGTCCCCGGACTTTGATCGTCACCATTTCGCCGTGTGGGGCCGCATGGCCGCCATCGACAAGGACTTGATCTATGATGTCCTCAGTGCCCACCAAGCAGACTTGATGCTGCTAATGCTGGGGTTCAACGACATGGCCTGGTTCCAGAGTGATGCATCCGGCACCCTGGACAGTATCCGTACCCTGGTTATCAATGCCCGCGCCGCCAACCCCAACCTCAAATTTGCCATCGCCAATGTTCCCCAGCGCAGCCTTATCCCGGGCCGAGAGGATATTCCGTTTAACACCCATATCTATAATGCGTTGCTGCGGAATGCTGTCCCAGAGTGGAGTACTGCAGATTCTCCCATCCATTTGGTCGAGCTGCAGGAGAACTACGATTGTGGACCAGATGCATGTCCTGCCGGGTATGATGGTCTGCATCCGAATCCTGTGGGAGAGTATCAGATCGCTCGCGCGTTCAGCCTGACTCTAGTAAAGGATTACGGGATCGGAAACACTCCGTTGATCATTCCTGACAAGATTCCAGAGAGGCCTCCCCACTTGTCGTTCAGTTTCTAAGCGAGATATAGCAGTATTCTCCCTGTGCAGTCCAGACTATCCTCGTCGATCCACCTACGTATGTCTTGATAAGCAAAACCTAGAAGACATCATCATCGTATTGGTGATATTGTATGCCATAGCCTTTTCCATCACTGCCTCCACCCCCTCTGTCCCTCGATCTAGACCATACAAATCGTCCACAAAAGAGTCACACAAAACGGGGATGATGCCACGGATAGAAGAACTCCAGGATACTGTTATGCACACTGATCAAATGGAAATAAGGTTCTGAGGATAGTATCGTATGGATGTCCTCCCCTTGCATGAGTCTTTTACGTTGTTCTTCTAACGAGTAGATCCCATCTGTGTAGAAGGAAAACAGAGAGCAAGGGGGTAGGCATTAGAAAATAGTTATGCAGCGGAAGCAGCGCTCGATAATAAACCTCGGCAGTATCATTGCGAGTGTGGCTTACCTAGTTGAATGGACTTATCGTAGGTCTTAACTCATTGGTGAATACAGTCAAGGCACTTCATATGGCTTAGTATATCTAAATTTGGAATCGCTATTACTACTGGAAAGGGGAAGTGGACGAACAGATTATCGATAATAGTCTGTATAACTCAATGTATTTTGATATGAGCAGGGGCTAAAGGTATTGCATAATGGGCGATATCGAGGATATGAATTTATGCTACATTGAGTAGAGAACCCTACCAGGAATGTCTCGGATAACTGATCAGCTACGTCGAGTGCTACATCCATTAGCTCGACATCCCAACTGACCAATTATGATAAATCTTCATGGAGTTAAGGTAGTAATAACCGTAATGCATGTTAAATGCTCACACATGACTCTTATCTGAGGTACCTCCTGCGGCACGGGGTAAGCTGACAGGGCTTGCAGCAAAGCAATCCGGTTATATGGAAACCCGAAGCATATCTTGTTCCTTTACCGCTCCATGGCGATAATGAAATAAGCCAACGATTATGCAGTTTTTTGTGCCAATATCCTGACAGGAGACCAGTTATATACTGTTCCCTTGCGTTCAGCGCAAAGACTCTGCAGTTCCGCCTCATGCTTGGCCACCAGAGGTACAATCTCTTCCGCGCATGTCAGCTTGGTACCGCGCAATATCTCACCGAGAGCAAGAAGATATGTGTCCGTGCATTTCTGGACAAGGAAGTCTCGGAATGATTCTGTCTTGGATTCTATGATTTCCAGATGTGCTTCTTCCAGATCGCGAGGAAGTCTTGTTGCCCAGCTGCAATAATATCAATGAGCCTCATATATTTTCACACTGACTGAAAGTTACTAGGACAGATGAACGATGAGAGTAGGTCTTACCTGTAGTCCAACCCAACCTTCTGAAATAAACTTGGTATCCGTTGTGCAAACTCAAGGGCCTTGCGCCCTTGCACAGATTGATGAACGAGGTCGGCCTCTTCCCACTGGATATAGCCTCCTGGCTCTAGTATGTATTAGCTGAACACAAGGAAATTGTATCTAGCGATGGGGATACTCACTCAGCAACTGTTGCAAATGGGAAATCAGCGGCCCGGTGTTGCCATCTCGTATATTACTCGCCCACATCCGGACATGTACAACATCGTATTGACCGACAAGTGTGGGAGGGACATCCTTGAAGGCGTCCAACAGCGCTAGATTGACGTTCCGTGGCCACATATGCTTCGAAGGATATTGATCCTCCGAGATATCGAAGCCATGCAGTTGCACAGTAGGTGGCATCGACGGGGATAGGTCAAAGAGCCATATCCTGTACTTTGTTAGTGGATATTCTTATGCTGGGCCGTGCATGCAACGGAACCCGAACAGGATCGATCCATGCCCTCGAGTCAGGAAAAGACTGTGAACTGCATTACCCATTGCCAGTGCCAACTTCCGCTATCTTCATGTCTGGAGTGATTGGAATGTGGGGGTGAAGTGTATATCCAGTGTGAAGCTTCCATAGAAGGTGCTGAGCATCCAATCTAGAAACATAATGAGCAGGATATTGCGATGTTAACACTAGCTCGCATTGAAGCCTTACCGGACTGAATCCGACAGTCCTCTTCCAAGAGGATATAGATCAGAGTCAGCCATTGCCGTTGGAGTAAATCGCGTTTCTGGTAATCACTTTCTCTAACCGAGTGTTCAACCTGAACATACCAGAAACTGAAGACGGACGAACTGACCGGTATAAATGTCCATCGACATTCCTTCTATGCAAAGTTGAGATCCTCAACCAGGGAAAAACTGTGACGTGGGCTAACTTTACTAATGTCATCTTTAAGTTCCATGCCGCGCTCAAAGAAATTGTATCAGATCAATCATATACCAAGTCCCCTTGCATAGATGTATGACAACGCCTTGGGGTGCTCCTACTTAAATGATCAACCTTTGATTGTGAAGAAGTACTCATCATGGTCCAATATACCAGTGAAACCTTGATCGGACTAACATACCAGTGAAACCTTGATCGGACTTGCGAAGGTTTCCCGTAGCTCCAGCATGGTCCGTCTCTTCCGTGTGTCTCCAACCTGGATAACACCATGCTACGGCTCGATATAGAAGTACCGGTACTTTCGACGGCGATTCCAAGAAGGATTAATTTATGCTATCAACAATCATCTCGACTACCCGGTGTACCACTCACCACACTGGAAAGGATCCAAATCTACCGCTCCTAAGCCCTGGATCGAGGTTACACAGATCTCATGCACGTTGCTGGCTGCGATGAAATGGCCGTTACTACGTCTCTATGTCATTGTATATTCTAATGGTCGTACTTCCAGACCAGTTTCCAACTACATCTAGCCACTTTACGTGTACGTCATGTTCCGATCATCCTGTCCGATCTCTAGCAAAACTGCCTTTCCGTCAATCATGCCTGTGTCCTCGACTTGGAAGTTTGAAGAATATCATTTGGCCCAATAGAGTAAGTTGACGTCAATAGAAAGCATATTATATTTTGCCTCAGTTAAAGGAACTATGGAACCTGATCAGCGATATGTCACGCAACTTTGGAATCCTGCGCGCTAGCGGCCTTTCATAAGCGGTCTCGTTATATCTGAGCGGCGATCAGCCCGTAACCTCCCCCTATAGTATCATTCAACGGATGAATCTACAAAGTATTCTGATAGTGGCATACCATTCCCTGTCCGAGTACTAATCAGGAACCAGGCTACCACGTTATGAGCGAATGGTTTTGCACTTTCTCTGCAAAAGTCCGATATGGGTCGCAGCAAGCCAGGGATATTCTGCAAGGTGACTTATTCGCATCGGATACTCGATCATTCACATGTTCATTGAGGGTTTTTCTTTCAAGCAAAAGGTGAGCTAGAGGCTAATCTGATCAGGTGAACCTAGCAACTCATTTCACTCGGCTACCATTCTTGCCTATCCAGGCCACCTGCTGAAAGGATCGATGAAGTCATATCTGCTCATGAATCTGCATACTGGTGCGTATTCATATGCGGTCTACAAAAGCCCTATCCCTGCCTTAGTATCGTGAGCTTGAGACTTACTACCGACACGAGAAGGATACAAATATCCTCGCTGGACTCTTATTGTTCTATACAATATAGCCCCACATTTTTACTATCATTCTCAACAGCTGCAAGCGTGATAACATCAACCGACCCACAATGTCATCCACTCGGATATCAATAACACTCACCTCTCCCTCTAGCGACTTGCTCAAACCAGTCATATCTGTGCTAGAAAGACATGGTGGCTCCGAGTGCTACGTCTACGAACGCAAAGACCACTGGCATATTGGCCTTGGATCCTACAGATCAGTGATAATCAACTCTAGCGGATCGAACATAACAATCACTGTAGCTGGAGAACCAAGCCAGCACTTCCCAGTGACGAAACCACTACCTGATATAGCAAGAGAATTCCTCCGTGAGTATTGGAACCACACATCCAGAGTATACGGACACGTTGGGTTCAACTATGCGGCCCATATTCGGGGCCTAGAATACATACCTGGCCAATGGCCCTTACTAGCCTTGATGATACCTCGCATAGAAGTACTCATCGACTCAGATAAAATTACACTCACCGGAAATGACACCAAGGAGGTCCTGGAACTGTGCGCTCTGCTGAAAGAGACATGTCGAAGTCGCAACACACCATCTACCGCACATGAGATTCAACACGTTGACGTAAATGAGACCTCCAGCCAATATAAACCCCTAGTGCAGCAAGCTCTATCACAAATCCAGCAGGACCACTATTCCAAGATAATCTTATCTCGACCCGTCAACCTCCAACACCGAGTGGACATGCCCTCAACACTCTACTGTGGTCGTCAATCCAACACACCCTCTCGCAGCTTCTCCCTCCGCCATGGTGACTACCAAGCCACCGGATTCAGCCCTGAACTAGTCATGTCCCTAGATAAGGGGGTAGTAACCACCGAGCCTCTAGCCGGAACACGCTCCCGCAAAGGCACAGAAGCCGAAATCCAAAGACTCCGAAAGGAACTAGAAAACGACAGCAAAGAGATAGTCGAACACGTCATCTCCGTCAAAGAAGCCGTGCACGAAATCAGCCAGCTCTCCGACAAGCCCGTGGTGGAGGACTTCATGTCAGTACGGGTACGGGGCAGCGTGCAACACCTTGGTTCTCGGGTCTGCGGACGTCTATCCCCGGATAAAGACATGTGGGATGCGTTCAATGTTCTTTTTCCATCGATTACGGCGTCGGGTATTCCGAAACAGGCTGCTATTGATGCTATTTCTCGCCTTGAGTCGCAGCATAGAGAGCTCTATTCGGGTGCTGTTCTGATGATCGAGGATGAGAATACCATGGAAGCTGCACTTGTGCTTCGCTCGGTCTTCCAGGATCGTGATCGTCAGTGGATCCAGGCTGGTGCGGGAGTTATCGCGGAATCGGACCCTTCCAGAGAGTTGACTGAGACTTGTGAGAAACTTGCGAGTATTGCGCCTTTTGTTGTGAGGGAGGCGAAGGGATTCAAGAATTAAGCTTAGTGGTTATCACTGACAGTTGCTTGCAAATTTTATGTTAGATAAGTTTTCTTTATCTATAACGAGTAGATCCCTTTTCTATTCAATGTGTCCCTCTCTTTTGTTTCTCTTTACAGTATGAGAGGGTGGGAGGTCTAACCTGAACGCATGCATCATTTTATTTAACTTGTTGTTAAAACATGAGTATAACACGTTCAAGAGCATGATCAAACTACTTCCTACACTGACTCCGATGCATGGAAGTTGAACATCGCATACTATATTCTCGAGTGTACAAGACTGATCTCTACTCGCTACCTGCTGAAGCTGTCTTAAAGGTCCTAGCCATGAATTGACCCTATGGATTATATTATATATAATTGAAATACATTGTTACTTCACATATAGTACTGATAGTAGTAGTAGTAGTATTAGTATAAGGAGATAAAGACTCACGACTGTTTACCAACTAACAACTAACATACTATACCTACGACTACTATCCTCGTAAGCGGATACTTACTAGTACTTAAACTAGTACTTGAGATATAATAGTCCGACCAAGCACAATCAACAAAAAGCCGCAAGAAACGGTCCGAACTAGCTTCAGTACTTCAGTAGAGACAAAAGAAAAGAGCATACCAGCTAATTATATAATGGCTGGCTTAGAGCAGCAAAAAAGACACCAACATATCTAGTATGTGTATGTAATGTCCCCTCTTCAAACTCTACAATATTATCGGGCTACTACACTGTTACTTTCATGAGGAGCTAGTACACGAATGCACGCAGGCAGTAGCATTTTCGAGGTCTAAAAACTATCATGCCAAGGTATCGGAGTGGGGAGGTGATTTATTGTGTTTTTCTATGTCACAATTGAGCTCTCCATAATCCATCAGGTACTAGTACTAGACACGTTATTATCGATGGCTCAGAAGGAAGTCAGCACAAAATGCAGCTGTGCTCAAGGGACTAGTACTCACTAGATGATGATCTGGGGGAATTGCCGATCGTTATTGAGTTCTCTTTGTTTGTAGTAGAGCATATATATAATATATATATAACCACTCACTCTTCCAGAGAGTTCACCATCACTCGGTTGATAAACTCGCAAGAGTGTTGAAACCACGCTAACAAGTCAATACTGTAACACTCATCTTGAAGAGGACACTGCTCATTGTCATTGTCATAGCACACGAGTATATAATCCATTTAGGCACCCACTTTACACCCCTGTCTGTCTCTCGTGCGGTCAATATAGACAGCTCAATATTTATTATACAACCTATATAAAACTAAACTGCTGACTAATGTATTCGCTGTCTGGTATATATTAATGAAGAGAAAAGGTAAGAGCTGTACAAGCAAGCGTATACCGGCCGTTGAACCCATGTCTATCGTGATGAGCATGCGATCGAATAAAAAAGTATACAATGTATGCGCGTCCAGAAGGAGGCGCAGGGTAGAGCAAGATAGTCCGGTCTCCGGTGGTAGCAAGGCTTCAACAGTATCAGCTGGTCATCCACGAAGTGACACGCTGAGCTCCGAATCTTCCCATAAACTGTAGTCCAGTGCTACCCATCGGGAAGTAGCTGACAAGGTACCAGAGCAGGGCAGCCAGCTGAAACACCGACGAGATGAGCGTCAACAGGGTTGAATGAAGCTAGAGGAGAAAAGACCATTAGCAACCGGTATTCCCACTGGTGTTCTTGGTGTGCACGGGCCCGACTGGGGTCTACAGTAGCGCATGCACATCCAACCTGCTACTGTTGCAGGACGATGTGAGAGATCATATTCACGACCGAGGTGGCGGTGCATTATGATGTCATATCGTCGGCTGAAGGCTCCGAGTGTACGCGCACGACCCAGGTATGCAAGATCCTCGAAATCGACAGGTTGGTATGCGATCGCAGAGGCGTACGCTCAGATAGTACAGGCATACACAACATGGTCCGGCAGGGAAGATCCTGGGCAATGTAGCTAGAGCCAAACAAACAGGGGGACTTACTCCGATAGCAAAGTACAAAGTCATGGCGATCGAGCCGAAATAGGCCGCCGTGAAGGGCAGACGTGGTCCCGAGACCAGATGTTTCGCGTAGACCAGGGGTCCCATGAGGACTGCCCATGATAGGAGAAAGAGTAAGGAACCAACCGACCATCTAGTTCAAGAGGTAAAACCGGTTCAATCAGCCACAAATTCACAGGAAGTTCCTCGGCAAACAGTATGGGTGAGGCGTGATGGAGGGTTCAGCACGGACGCTGGAATGTAGTAGGATCGGAGACGCGTGGTGCATAATCCCCAGCGAGGAGGGCATGACAAGCACTCCACCGCCTCGTGCCCCCCCCGGTGGGTGGGCGAAGTAGGGATGTATTGGGGTTCGATGGAGATCAACGGGGAATCTGTAGAGCAACTTACAGGATGGCAAATTTGCGGGGTTTCAGTGATAGGACCGGGAATAGGAAAAAGCAAAGGAGGAAGCAGACGGCGGCACCAAGGTTGCATGCGATGAAAATGAGCATCCGATCCCATCGACTTACTGTGAAAGGAATGTATGATTAGCATTAGCCAAAAGTTAAAAGGGGAGGAGGTAGGGCGGCAAGAAGAAAAATAGAAAATGCGTAGAAGCGCAGAAAAAAAGAAAAAAGGAACGAAAAATGGAAAATAGGAAAATTAAACGGTGGATGACAAAGTATGGTCCCATAGGTAAATAGAGAGTAGAGTACATCATTCAGCTTTTCCTAGGGCTTCCGTGGAACCCAGACAGATGCAGGAACTGAGTCTTCTGTCACCTGGACTGGGCAGTGCAGCAAATCAAGGAAGAAAGCATCTCTACGGAAAATCGGTCATGCGTTCGGAGGACTTACAGGCAAAGAAAGTATCTTCCTCCTCTCGGCGACTTGCGGCGGGTAGGGGAGCTCCTGGAGCTTCATGAGTGGGCAGTTGCAGATAGCCCTCCCCTTGACCAAATGGATTCCAAGACTGTAACCGTGAGAGGATAGGCGTATTTGACGAGTTATTGCGGGCGGAGAGATCTGGGTCTCGTCGCGACCAACCCAGGGAGTTGACCGAATCGCGGAATGAATTGGTAGCCATGATTGCTATTGGCTTCTGTGCCGGGCCTAGTTACACCCTGGTGGAAGAGGGGCAGGGTGAACGAAATGAAAGCAAGATATTAGGCCTCGGACAATGTTGCTACCGGGGTTGGTGTACACTGCCAGTCGACCACTGGAAGAGCGACACTGCGGTGACAAGGTGAGAAAGGCTCTGCAGGGACTATGCACGACGGAAACCAATATGTGCGTGCAGATGATCTGCAGATATCAATGATGGAGGGGGGGAAAGACGACGGCGAGAGAGTAACCGGCGGTGATAGGATCGAACTAAAGCGGGCCAGATGACTGTTGCGCAACCGGACTAGACTCCCGAGGAGCTTGGGCACGGGACAAACCTAGCGTCCGCTAATAGAAACTTCGGACGTTGGTGGTCCACTGGTGTCTTCTCAGAGTGAAGCTGATAAGCTTGTGATCGCCCTCCTGCCCGATTCGTAAAAGTCGTGTTATCGATAGTAACCTGTCACCAAAGGGGACTGCGCCTCCTGGAGGTAGTCGGTCTATTCTTAGAGGAGGAAATTGCGAGTGCTCCTAGCAGTAGCGCAGACTGAAACAGTATCTCCGAACGGCCGATGTAACAGTTCTAATAACCCAGTGTGTCCCACGAGCTGTAAATCGGGGGTTTAGTCTCCCACCCCGGCGCAAGGAATGCAGAGATCGAAAGGCCAATTACCCAGCCGGGAGAGGAGCTGCGCCGACCGGAGAATGAGAGGGAGGGTGGAGGAAGCTGCAAAATGATGACGATGACGATGACGATAATGGGGGTTGAGAGAGCGAGGATGGTAGCTGGCGTAACGCTGGGGCCACCCTAAATTCAAGACAGAGATCGGCTCTACACAGGCTGCAAGATTAGCCAGTCGTCATCTGACTTGGGAGGATAAAAGGAGGAGGAGGAGGAGGAGGAGGTCGAGCAAAAGACGAGAGGGGAAATCAAAGGAGGGGGGGAGGATATGTGGGTGTGGGTGTGTGTGTGTGGGTGGGCGTTGAGCAGGTGGTCGCGATGAGTGTAGGCAAAACAAGGCACGTAGCCAGAACACCACCACTACCACCACCACCACCACCATTAACAGTAAGAGAGATAGAGAGAATACGGTCACATACCAAAGCTCGCAGAAACTGATACTATCTCCGAAACTTAAAGGATGATTGAGTGTGGTTGTCAACAATGGGGAGCCTCTTTACCCACGGGTTGTCGCGATAATTATCGGGGGATGATTGCTTTCCAGCAGCAGCACCGCCCATAATCGCCGTCGCAGTTGGAATGGGAGTTCGTCCCTTTCCTGCAAAGCTGGGGTGGGGTACCCCAACGGCCAATCAGCAGCCTCATTCACAGAGACGGTGTCCCGGTGACGGATCTAAACCCAAAACGAGCTGGTGACCCCAGCTGAGCAGTTGCTTGACCAATCACCGCTTGAGATGGCGCCATGGTGGACAGGCTCGATACAATTCATTGGCTGGTTTGAAGACTATGGGAGAGTTCGGCCACACCGCCCATGGGGGGTTAAAACCGTTTGGCGCCTGTTCCGCTGACCAGGTCGCGTCCTTACCATACCGAAAGTTACTTACTTCCCACTGCTACTAGTAGATACAGACAGTACTATCAGTAGGTGCCGGTAGCCTACCTACTACTTACCTGCCTTGGTACATCTCGTCGCCTAGTAGGTCAGAACAGTGCCCACTCACTAACTACATGACTAGTCATCTGTAATTGGTGCCTATCTCCAAGCGCAACCAAAAAACCTGTTCAGGATTGTGAAGGTGCGTTGCTCCCTCATGGTTGGCTTCTCAGCTGGTCGAATGAGAAGCCGAGAGACTGTGATTAGACGAGTGGCGCCCTGGAACCCCTTCCGGCTGGCTTCTTTCCTAGTCCAGTAGATCCTGGTTAGAGCAGCCGGGGATGCAGAAGCCTACTTGGACCTCAGTACAATCTCCTCCTATCCATGGCGTTTCTGCATTAGAATGCTTATCACGGCCGATAGCTTCTTAGTTGGGTTGCATCAGGCAACTCCAGGGAGAGACATGTTACGTACATTCGCTGCGTAAACTGGCTAAAGTCCAAAAAACCAGAAGCGAATGAATTACCTTTGCACAGTCCCGCAAATCTCCCATATGCGAGCTTTTGTCTCTTTTAGGCGATAGTAAACTAGCGTCGAGATCAAACGGAACGGTGTTGCCCGCCGGATAATTAACCCCGCCAGAGTCTGATTATTTTCCTGTTGCTACTTTAGAGGAATTCCTCAGCTTGAATTGAAATTCCTGTATCTTTTGCTCCCTCTGTCTCTCTGATATTGAAACTTTAATTCCTGGCCGGTTCGGAAGCTCTTCTGAACCCATTAGCGTCACAAGTTACTGGATGGATGGTGAACTCTCTCGCCTGCATATCATACGTAGCTAGTAGCTACTGCATCCTAATAGCACCTGCACGTACAAGAGAGTCGGCGGCCAAGCATAGGGGCCGAAGAGCTCTTGCCATCGCCATGACCAACCATCATGATACATACGTAGTGAGAACTCCCTTGCAGTAACCGTGGATATCGGCCATGCCCTCCGAACCTTGACGGGACGGGACGGGCACGATTTGCGGGAACCAATGCTATTCCTTCATTAGGCTTCCACTTCTGGTGCAAGTAGCGGGCTTATCTGTTGATTCCGCATTCGGCAGAATCGACCCGACTTGTGGTCTGATACCGGTCATCCATTATCATCATTCCACCAGCAGCTGTATGTACGATGGTGTCATCGTTGGGAATGGCGGCGTCAGGTCGCATACCAGATTATTGTCCGCTGGGGGGGAAGTCTACATAACGATCGGTGCAGGAATTCAGGTCAGTGGGCGTGGTTCATGGTGTAGTAGCTGGTCGGGTCGTGACATACCACCTATCGTGTCTGCGGCACTTCGAACCAGGGTTGACAGGCTAATCTCTGCTGGTGGCTTCTTTCGGGCTATCAGGACTCCCCGATTGATTTGATGCTGCAAGGTGATTGGCAATTTACTTTTGACAGCATTCCAGACGCAGCTCAATTGTTTTCCCACTCGCCGGATCATAAGGCTCCCCACATTCCTGGTGGCTTGTATTTCAAATCATCGAGCATGAAAAGCCAAAAGGCAAATGGTGGAATGAATGGAATTAAATCTTGTCGCGACGCGCGGGTGCGCATAGGGAGGCGCTTCTTATGAAGACTGCTCGGAATAACGCGAGAAGAATGAAGCTATTACCCCAAGAGCAGGAAAAAGGAGAAAACAATAGGAAATTAAACCAGCTCCCGCGCTTGGGACGCCGACGCATTGCACCAACCCCACCCCATAATTCAAAGTAGAAGCCTATCAGATGGCACAAGTTGGCGCACTCTTTCTCGGGAGGCGACAGGATGCACGGTGTCACGGACCGCCTTCTGTGTCAGTTCCAACCTGGAGACGCTCGGACGCCCCGGTGTCTCTTCTGGAAGCCTGACTGCTTCTTCCTAAGGTTCCCAAGGAGGCGGTTCCATGCTCATCTTCGTACTCGAGGTGGACGTGCGCAATTAAGATGAGAAGGAGGGTTCTCGATATGCGAAGGAAGCCGACCTTACTAGCCTGACGATACCGTATCCCGGGCAGGTGCCCGGTGTGTGTCTCTCTCCCCAAGATAATGGTGGATGTATACCTCCTAGATACGAGCGGTATGTATGCCTGGAGCTAAACCTAGTGCGATGGACATCGTATTGTGTTCCATGGTAAAGGCGGTGTTTTGTGCCGCTCGTCGGTCCTATTAGCGTGCAGCGATTTTGAGCATGATCATCCAGAAGCCTAGGTAGTAAGTAATAGTAGTAGTGATGAACAGAGGTAACCTGGATAGATATCGAAGTTGCTGAACAGAAGGAGATCGTTTCCCTCAATTTCCCTACCACATGGTACGCCACGATCATTCATCCCTTCCCCGATACCCGCCATGAAGCACTCCGGCGGAGAGCCTGGGGAAATAATGATTAAAACTAAAATTACCGATAATCATCTTGAAACATCTAATCCATCCTGAGGAACCCCTCAGTACATTAGCAGTAAACTATGATGTCATCGTTCCCTTTTCAAAATCAAAATTGAAAAAGCAAAACCATGATTTTCCAAATCTCACGTTCCATGGTCATTAGTCCGCCCGTCAGGATGAATGATCTGGTATGCTTGGGGCTTGCCCAGCCTGGCATCTGATACATTCCCGAGTGGGTTCCTAAAGTCGAGGGTAAGGAAGTATAGCAGGTTGGCTGCTCCTATAGCAGGCGTCGGGGTTGTAAGTCCGACGGCGATAATGATTGCTGTCTTAGCGCCCTTTTTGGTTTAATACGATGGAAGTATATGGCGCAACGAGATACTTTGTAAGAAATAGCAACCAACCAGAATCCAACCTGGGATAAGATGAGTGATAATAAACCGGATAACTAACATCTTGCCATGGGGATAACACCCCTCCCCCTCCCAAAGGCTGACCTCGAGTGAGTCATTCTAGTCTCTCTCTTTTTATTTTTCTCTTAATTATTTCTTGAACCTGGCAAAAAAGGGACAGGTGACAAATATAGTAGTACCTGGATGCTCATGGGATTGAGAGGGGAGGCTAACCTCCCCCATCCGGACGGTGCTACCCTCCTTGATGGATGCTTTTCTGACCGTCTCTCCTACACCTACTTTACCCTACCCCTCCTGCCCACCAACCACACGCCCCCCTTTCTTCTGCTTGTATTGGTCTCATCCCCCTCCATCTTCAACATACTTAGCTTCCCACGCCTTAGCTTCATCGCCACCAAGACTTGCCTTTCCCTTCCCTCCATTTCATTAATTAATAAAATGTATTCATTCTTCTTGTAATTTTGTTTTGCCCGCTATTTTAGTGTTGCTTCCCGTTTCTGATTATTTCTTTTTCTGTTTAAAATTAAATAATATTAATTTGATTCCCACACCCTCTACACCAAGCTGAAGAACCGGTTTACGCATGTAATCCCCGTAGATGCTTTGTTAAGCCTCGTCGATTGAGGATCGACGCCCTGCATGACCTTGAACGTGATATATCAAATGAGAGGCTGTGAAGAACGCCGCGAGAGTCTTTTTAAAGTCCCCCTCATCCCCTCGTCTTTTCAAGCCTGGGTGTTCTCTTTTCTTTTGATCTTATCTGGAATACTACTACTACCGATCATACCATCTACCACCTTGAATCTTGGAATCCCGTCAACAGAAGCTGGGACTTCTTCATTTGATGACTGTTGCGTCGTCCGGCTGCGCCGCATTGATTCTCCCGCGAATTGCCTGTTTACGGTCACCGTCGCTCAAGGGTAGTTCCCAGTAACTTGACAGTACAGTCTCTCAGAGTCGCTGAGCACGAACCCCTCACTGTTGCGACATCTCACACCCAACAGGGCACAAGTAAGTAATCACAGCTAAATACCTTGTCATTTCCTTTGCCCCGGTCTCCTTCCATACTTTTTCGCATATAAGCCCCTCCTGCCGCTGAGATAAGGCGGCTGGCTTCATAAGCGCTTTCATTGTTACTCCCTTCTCTTGTTTGCTTTTTCATTTCTGCCTGGTCTCTGGACGCCTTGAGCCTCACCTCTGTCTACCTCTGTTACTCTTCCTTTTTCTTTTCATCACTTACCTCCGCGGGGCCATCCCTTCTACTATCACACTGTGCGTCTATGACTGTTGCGCCATCAACTGCACTATTTCTGTCACTGCCACATGAAGGATATGACTAATACTAATACCTCTTGTACAGGTCTATGAAGAAAATCGCTCATACCTGACGCCGGACACATCTTAACCTAGTAAGTTAGTTTTTCTACAATTTCGTATATTGTTCTTGAGTTCTCGATTATTTTTGCCCTGCATCATGTTCCTTTGAAGCCTGGTCGCACTGGGGATTGAGGATCCCGCTTGGAGAAGATGCAAGCAAGCCTGAACACGCTCTACCTCCGATGATGGAGGAAGCAAAGCCAAAAGAAGGAGGGGTATGGGTTACTCCTCATTCCTCCAGGATGTGATATCCGGCAGAGATATTGCCGGGGTTGTCATGCCTTCAACCGAGCTGTTGTCTGGGAAGAGCAACAAGCGACGGTTGCAGCACAGCGCCGTTGGGCTCCAACCCCTGCATGCTCTCCCGGCGGAGGGAGGGTAATACCCACTGATCGCGGGTCGGAGGTCGAACAGTTCGCGGGAAGACAGTGAGCAGGCGCCTATGAGATGCTCCAATTTGCTCCGACATCCCCAAGGGGTTGAGTTACCGCGGGGCAACCTTGGAAGGCTCATTCTTGTCTCACGGACCCCGAGTCGGAGAGCGCTTCCCGGTTGGACTAAAGCGGGGAGGCGGTAATCGGCGAGAAAAGAAAAAGAGGGGAGAGGGGAACAGGAGAGGACATCCTGCATCGTCGTCGTGATTATTGTCACACACAGTCACATACGCCATGTCTATGTCTCGCTTAACAATATCCCCAGGGCACGCCGAGAGGAAAGGGGAATCACGGGGAGGCCGAGGGGGTAGGATCGCAGCGGGTGGCAGATTTCCGGGGCAAATCGATGGCATCTCCACACTTTCCACTGCCACGCCCGCATACTGCCACCAGTGACCGCTTGCCCCCAGCAGTCCCACCGCCCGGGGAATGCTCAACACGATCGGTTTTGCCTCTCTTTCTCCTCCCTCTTTAGCTGGCCCCCCCACGGTGCCTGTTTCACTTTCAGCCCATCAAGTGCATCCATCCATCCACATTCATCTCTCGCCTCCTCCACTCCCTTCCCCTCTTCCCATCCCAGATTCTCCCAGCTTCTGTCGCATATACCCCAGACCCAACTCGCATCATCATACAAAACAGTAATTCTCAGGAAGCGCGCTTTCCATCCCCCCCACACACACACTCAACCTCCCCCGGTGTGCAAGTACAAGGCTCCATCTCATTTTATCTTGTTCGTTCCCCGTGGATCTTCCTCACTCTCAACTGTGACCGGCTCCGACTGCTCTTATCGCTTCCCTTTTCCCTTCCCTTTTTGCCCTTTTCCCCTCCCCCATTGTTCCAGCCCATCGCCTCCGCGGCCCCATCTGGCCGCCTTTTCACGCTCTCAACTCTCTCTTTCTGTCTCCCCTTTATTTTGCCTCGCTTATGGCCACGCAATTCTGTTTCCCTCTTTGACCTCTTTTTCCTACTTTCTATTTTCTTATTTCCCCAGCTGCTATCTTCCCCATTTTCAGGTCGCTTACCACAGACCTCATTGTGCAGTCTGATCTTCCTCTGTGCGGTTCACAATCAACGAGGCAGCCTATTGGGTTTCGGACTCCGCCCACGATAGTGGCATTTTCCGAGGCGTCCGCTTTCGAATCTTACCTTTCCACCACAACTTCGCCCACCGCGACCAGTCAAATCCGATCGCGAACTACCCCTCGCATTCGCCTTGAACCCATCCCGGCTTCAGCACCAATCGTATCTGTGCCTCATCCAGGAAGCGTCTACCGCGCAGTTTCCTGCTCGTCAAGTAGACATTCCCGCTCTTCTGGTTGGTAACTCCGTGCCTTCCCTGTTTTGTGGTGGTCTGAGCCACCTCCTGTCTCTCCTCTCCCTGAAATTAGATCGTGGCTCATTGTAATGTCGCCTTCTTTCTCTGTTTGATTGAGCGCTAACGGGCACTTGTCCGATCTGTCAGATTTTCTCCTCGCCACCCTCGCAACTTGCCCGAACTCGTTGATGAGTTTAACTCACCGCTTCCATCACCGAACCTCTTGACTATTCTGCGAAGAGGCTAAACCTTCACACGAGGAGCATTTCTCGCTCCAAATTCAGCTTGGGGTTTACTGTGCTCGAACCCCCTAGTCCCACAAGCATCAGCGAGTTCGATTTTGAACTGTAAGACTCCCCTGGAAGACGCAGTCAGCATTCTGCCTGAGTGCTTGCTTAGGCTCGCTGTAAACTGGCGGAAGCGAGCATTCTTTATCGAGAACAAACCTGACAAACGCAGCAGTGATCAGTATTCATGATGTCACAGTCGAACTATATGTCCAATCAGTTTGGCAACCCCAACGAGGGGGTTGACCCGTCGGAGCTTAGTATGCAAAACGGTGGTTTCATGTCCTACCCATTTACGTCGCAGCAGAACTTCAACTTTGGAAACTCGGGTATTGATACAGATGAGTTGTTGGACCTGGAAATCAACGGACAGAATGGCATGCAGCAGAACTTCCTCCAGGACCAGCATTCGGGTGCCGGAATTTCCATGAGTCATCCGGGGCAGATGTCTCAGATGTACTCCAACACGCCGGATGGAGCTCCCATGAACAGCCCGTTCATGCACAGCTTCAATTATGACCATTTTCGATCCATGAACCAAAACGGCCAGCCCGGCTCTCATCTACAGAGTGGATCCCAGTTCGAACAGAGTTATCTGGCTTCCAAGGGCCGCCCGAGTTTGCAGGCAGTGGACCGCGCTTCACTTGATGCGCGCAGTCCGATGACTCCGAAGACCCCAGCCCTTGGTGCATTGACCCTGGGAACCCCAGAATCTGGAAGTTTTCCTACGCAGCCCATCCGGACTGGCCTGCAGCATCGCCACCAGAAGACACTGTCAAACCAATGGGATGGTACGCCAGGAAGTGCCCACTCTTTCGTGGAGTCCCCAATCTCCTCCCCCGGCCACCCCCACCACGCGGGAATTTCAGAGATCCTCAAGTCTGGTAAACATGCTTCCTTGCCGGCCAAGGTTGATACGCACATGCCAGGCAGTGCCCAGGACCTAGAATCCCAAGAGGCCAAGCGACGCCGTCGGCGGGCCTCCCATAACCTGGTCGAGCGCCGGCGACGGGACAACATCAACGAGCGCATCCAGGATCTTTCCCACCTCGTTCCCCAGCATCGCTTGGAGGATGACAAAGTCCGGAAGCAGCTTGTCAACAACACAGCAATGTCTGCCACTGGAGCCACTCCCAATGCCGCGACGTCTTTGCTGGCTGGAGGCAATGGCCGCCGGGCCACTGCGGGTAACATTACGATGGGTCTGCCAATCGAGGAGAAGGAGAAGGGCCCGAACAAGGGCGACATTCTGAACGGTGCCGTAGGCTGGATGCGTGACCTAATGTGGGCCCTACATGTTAAGCTCCAGCAGGAATCGGAGCTGGCTGAAATCATCAGCAACTTGGGTGGAACTTGGCCATTCGAGCAGACCGAAGAAGAGAAGCGGATGAGAACGGAGATTCTCGATGCTTTGGAGAAGAACGACCCTAGTTCGTTCACTTATAGCAGGGCACCCGGAAGCGGGCTGCGAGTACCGAAACATACGAACATGGCAGGGGACTCTGTGGCTGGCAATGGGGCTTTGAGCCCCCAGAGCCTGAGCCCCCCGTTCAACGGCAACGGCGGTAGCAATGGAGGCTCCGGGCAGGCTCAGTACTGGAGCAGCTCGGGTCACGCGGGCATGAGCTTCAAGGAGGAAGACGAGTATGCGATGGAGATGAATTAGATACATTTCCGCTAACTATCGCTCGAGCTCTCATTTCTTCAAACGAACGCATGTTATGAGCTATTGCATACAAGGGCGTCAAACGGACGGGTAGTTGACCGGCGTACACGGAAGCGCCTTATCATGCCATCGAGGCTAAAGGGCCAGTTGAACTTTCTTTTCGTCAGTTGTTTGATACTTCTCGCGTGTGGTTCTCGCTATACTTGCCTGGGATTGGCTGTCTCGGATTCTTATTGTCTTTAATTCTTTATTCATTGCCTAATTTCTGGTGGGACTTTACTTGTTGAGTTGAGTGTCTATGTGCTTATCTTGTGAATTTCCAGTTAGCTATCTTGGGTTGCGCGTTTCTTGCTGTTCTTTTGCGCATAATGGTGAGCAAGGTCGGAACACGACATGTCTTGCGTCATTTGGCTTCTTCTCCTTTTACATCGATACCCTTTTCCCATTGTCCCGGTTTCACAGTTTTCAACTTTCCTACTTCATCCTTAATATCCTTTTGGCTACTTTGACCCCATTTCGGATGTCATTTACGGCTGCTATCTATTTTTGATTTAAATTACATAGCATGATTCAATGATACAATGGTGCATTCGGTGCATGCAACTTTACTCTCTACTCAATGCTCACTTTCCTATAAATTACAATGGAAGTTACTACAGTCATTAGCCCTGCCACAGGCAATAGAAGCCTAAACATCAGCAGTAGATGGATCAACACGTGTCCTGCACGCTATCGAGCAGGCACATGGAGTGTTCTAGACCCCATACCCTAAGAGTCTAACCAGCAAATGATAGTAGTCCAAGGGTATCTGATGTCTATCGTAGCGCCCGCCATCATGCAGTTCCCCGGGGACGATGATTGCCCGACTACTGTAGGTACCAATCCTGGTGAGACCAGGATGGCCCCATTCCATGGGTCCAACCGTACATACGTACATACATTAGACAGACATATCACATGCATTTCTTTCTTTTCCGCATATCTTACTTGCTTATTCTCACGCTGTGCATACAGCTAGCCACTTTTGCATGGTACCTACTTACAATAGTACATGAATAGTATGAATCTAGTAGCAATCAATATATGCCAGTATCTACAGCACTATCTCAAAAGCAAATATTGGAAAGGAAAGAGGGAAAGGAAAAAAGGGGGAATACTTTCAAATTCAACATGAGACGAACACCATCAAACAGATCCTTCATACCCTCTCTCTTTTACTTCTTTTTTCTTCTGTCCCGTCTATTTCTATTTCTATCCCCCTATCTCTAGTAAAGTAGAAATATAGAAACTGAACAAGAAAAGAATTTATTCCCAAAAAAAAAAAAAAAGGGAAAGAGGATCTTACTCGCCCCTCATATTCCTAAAGAAGTCCATGACTCCTGTAAACACAACAAGAAGGATACCACCACCAGGACCCAATCTCAGCACCTTGGGCAAGAATCCCTTATACAAAGCAGCGAATCCTTCCTCCTTCATGACAGTTCCAACGGCAGGCCAAGCCCAGTTGTACTTGGGCACTTGGCCGGGAACCTTCGAGGTGTTTTGAATACGGGACTTGACGACGTCCATGGGCGTGTTGAGAATCGTACCGGCCGTACCACCGATTGTACCCGCGATCAAGTCATTACGTGTCTGCTGGCTCTTGTTGCCCGGCTCGGCGGCAGGGAGCTGCGCGCGCACCTGGAAGATACAACCGAAGTAACCCGAGTTCCAGAGAATGTGGCGCCACAGGGTGGATTCCAGACCGTTGTACATAGCGAGGGGTCCCTCCGCGGCGACGATCTTCTTCACGACGTCCAGCATGCCGTTGTATTTACCGGCCGAGGCGCGGTCCTGCAGACGGATCTTGACCAGCTCGAAGGGCACGACGACGAACGACTCGGTCGCTCCGGCCGTCGCTCCCGTCAGGATCGCCAGTGACTGTGTTTGCTTCTCGGCGCCGAACAGGTTGCGGTAGAAGGCGCCCCAGCTGTCGTTGGCGGCAAATTTGGTCGCGCGCTTGGGCGCTTCCATCAGGATGGGAGCGGAGATACCGCGGTACAGGCGGGAGAAGCTGTTATGGGGAGAGGTGGGTTAGTCTGGTTGTGAGGGGGTGGTTGGGGAGGGCGAGGGAGTTGGTTGGCGTACCCCTCGTTCTTGACGATCTTGCGCAGACAGTCGAACATGCCATTGTAGTATTCCTCACCGGCGACTGCGGTACCCTTCTGGAGTTGACTGTAAGGTTGGATTAAGTTAGTGGGTAATTGCAATTGGGGAGAGATAAGAGAAGCAGAGCTTACACTCGAGTCTTGACCACGTCCAAGGGGTACCTGGGGGGAAAGGGATTAGTATTGGCTGGTTGGATTGCGTCGATTGAGGGTGGGAAATGCGCACATAACCAGAATCTATGGCAGAGTTAGTCGCGTGCTCCGGTGAACTGGCAGCGGGATCACACCATACGTACCTCGGACACACCGGCGACGGCACCGGCAATGAATTGGTAGCCGAAGGGCAAGGGCTTCTGGGTGTCGTTGTTCGACATGGTGATGAATTGGCCAAAAGTAGGCGTGCAGACGAAACAACAGACGGTGAAGACGAGTCGGGAGAGGGGAAGAAAAGAAGAAGAAAGAGGGAAGAAGTGATGGAGAATGAGATTATCGAGGGAGGAGGCCGCAGTCGGAGAGGGTCGGGGACTCACCGGGACGTCGCCCGATCGGGTAAAATGCCGCCCCACGTGCCGCCCCACGGGGCTTTTTGACGCTTACTTATACCTGCCACCGCATTCATCGCTTCGTTAGTTATCACATTGTCATTGTCATTGTCATTATCATTTTGCTATGCATGCTCTCATGATCTACGTATCGAATCAATTCAATCATAACGCCAGGGCCACCATCATACCCATGCCCATCACCCCCCACTGCTGCCGCAATTGATCACTCCCACTAGTGGCCTGCTCCTTGGCCACGGTCTCCGTCGCCGTTGACACTGCCGTACAGCTGGTCCCGCACTGGTATCCCGACGGACAACAACCTCCCCCGACGGATTGGGCGCAGCTGAACCAGCCAGTTGCGCATCGCCCAGGCGTGCTTGTTGTGGTCGTGGATGCCGTCGTCGTGGCCACAGGGACTACAATTGTTACTCCGTCGCTAGTGAAGGTCGTCGAGGGCGTTGCCGGGCAGGACGTCGTGTCGCAATCGCGGCCAGTTCGGCAGCATCCTCCATGGTAGACGGCAGAGCAGGCGTAGAACCCGGTTGGACAGACCGATGCCGTACTGGTAGTTGTGGTTGTTTTGGAGTTTGTGGAGGTAGATACAGTGGTAGGTCGAGAAGGAGGCACCAGATCACCCGTGGTTTGCGTCGCAGTGGTTTTAGGGATGGTGTGTGTGGATGTTGATAGCATGACGGTTGAGCTTACCGTGACCGTGATGGTGAAGACGCGCATACCTGAGCTGTTAGCCTCAATAGCGATATAGAGTAGGGGAATTTTCAGTTGATTGCAGGTTACTTACATCCCCCGGTGACACATTCGTACCCTGGGATACAGCATCCACCACCCAGAGATGACGAACAGCTAGAGTATCCGTCCTGGCATGATCCAATTGTCCCCGAGCACGTCTCTCCCTTCGGACAACAGCCTACGTCACCAGATCCTGTGTCGTTGACCAGAACGCACGTGTCGCTTGTACTGCAGCAGCTTTCGGGCCGATCTATCGATGAGCATCCGTAGGTGCCGGAAGGACATTTAAATTCTCGCCGAAGAAGCGGTGAGAAATGTTCACTCCACCCGCGCCGTTCGATCTCAAGGTCGCTCGGGTAGGAGGGTCGAAAGGGATACGAGCGAGGTTGAAAGTCGACCTTCTCGGTTGTGTCGAGACTATAAGGTTGTGCTTGCGATGAAGAATCATTGACGTTTGATGTGTTGCTTGTTGTATAGGCTTCGTCGAACAGCCAGTAGTCGAGGAAGAATTTCTCGCCTTCATCGTCGGTCATCTTATGGACTCCGCGAACAGGCTTTTGGGATAGGTATGACTCGATAAGAGCATTGTGTTGAACGATCGAATCCGTATTCTGGGAGTCAGTGGGAATAGATACATTGCTTGCGAAGGCTTGTCCTGCGATTGATGGGCCGAGGATGCAGGCCAGTAAAGGTATTGACAACATGAGATCGTAGTTACTAGGACTGAGTCATAGTCAGCGCACGAAACATTTCCAGGAATGAAGTCGCACATACATAAGTAGTATATATTATCGTCTCCCGAAAGGACGTTATCGGAAGAGCTCCGTGATAAGTCGACCGACAAGGTGACAAAATATAAACGACCGGGATCAACTGCAGATCATACCGGCACTAAATACACGAAGCGCTAAGTATGAAACTAACAGTCGGGGGCAACCGACTCTCCTCTCTGCCCAAAGACAGTGTGGCTGGGAAAGAGTGGGAACAACAATTAACAAGGCGACGGGGGCCTCCACCGGTCCCGATCGGGAAATAATGCCAATAAGGTGCAAATAAATGGATACCTGATTGTGCCGGCAGTATTCTACAGTAACCGCTTTGCGTCATGGCGGTGGGCCCCTCCGTTCCATGGGAATCAAGAAAGTGGAGAGAGAGAGAGAGTCTCAGCTCTATTCCATCTTGACAGCTGCCCGTCCATGGATCAGCTTATCATTGGATGATGGAGAAATGTTGACTGTTGGAAATTGGAGAATGCAACTGTTGGTCGAACTAACTATAGAAAGGAGTGAGGAGGGCTGAGAAGGTGCGCGGGTAATGGCGAGCAATATAGATCCAACATAACCCATGTTACTCCCTGCACAGCGCCATCTACTGGCGTCCCGATTAGTGGGAGGGCGCTTGCTGCTCACAATGGCAGGGATTGCTACCCCCCATCTCATCCCAGCAATGGTTCTTTTAACGCGGCCTGTCCCCCTCGACTTATTCCTCTCCTTTCATCTTCTCTCCCATCATCTCTCTCATTCTCAATCATGGAAGATTCATCGTTTGAATACCCCAGCGACATTCTCTACACCCAGGAGCCTCTCTCGGGATACAAGTTTGGCGGATATCATCCCGTCCGTATCGGTGATACTTTCAAAGATAACCGCTACACTATACATCACAAACTCACGTGGGGAGGTTTCTCCACCGTCTGGCTTGCCCATGACAATTTGTGCGTCACAGATACCCATCTGTCCCATTTCACATGAATAAACACTGAGAACTGAAATAGGCGACACCGATGGGTCTCCTTGAAGATCAAAACCGCAGACACTTCGTACAGTTCTCAAGAACTCCAAAACCTCCAGCAGCTGGAGAAGATTGCCGCTCCGGACGATCTCTCGTCCAAGTACATTCTCCACCTGCTGGACGCTTTCATCCAGCCCGGCCCCAACGGCATTCACCAATGCCTGGTGTTCGAGCTGATCGGTCCTACCATCGATCGCATCATCACTGACTACCGCGAGCTTTCGGATTCCCTTGATCCACAGACCATTCTTCGCTTGTCGAGGCAGCTTCTCAAAGCTATTGAATTGGTCCATAATGCGGGGGTGGGGCAGATAGGTAAGCTCCTACTTCTAATCAAGCTTTGAGTATTTTCTTTATTAAGTCGAACCAGACATCAGCGGCAGAAATATCGTCTTCAGCGGTAGGAACCTGTCCTATGCATCGGAGAAGATCATATTTGCGGTCTTTGGCTCGCCCGAGCATGAACCAGTGACCCACCTCGATGGCACTCCGTTGCACAAAGGCTTCCCAGCGGCTCTGTTTGGACCGGTGAGTTGGGAAGACTGGCTAGAGGAGTTTGCCGAGGAGCTCCGCATCTTCGACCTCGGAGAAGGATTTGCCCAGGAAGAGAAGTCGAGGATACTCGCGCAACCGGGTCCTTCGCGGGCGCCTGAGTTGATTTTCACGGGGAGGTCTGATCACAGGACTGATCTGTGGCATACGGGCTGCATGGTATGTGAATCGTCAAGACAAAGTCACCAAAGAATAGATACTGACAAGATTGCAGCTATTCTTCTTCGTGTTCGGGACATACCCCTTTGACTCCGATGTGGAAGATATGGTAGTGGTCGAGCAGATGATTGACCTTCTGGGGGAGTTACCTCAAGAATGGCAACCTACCTGGGACCGTATGCGCGCGGAAGCTGGAGACATGATGGATTTCCAAGGTAAGATATAATAAAACCCTGCTAGTTGATGCACCTGTTCATCAGCATGCTGATCTCCAAATACTAGGTGACGAGGTCTTCACTCTGGAGGACCGCTTCGATAAGGAAGTAGCCGAGCCAGAGCTTGCTCCTCTTATCCCGATCATCCGCGCATTGCTTGAATTCCGGCCTTCAGAGCGCATTACAGCACCGCAAGCCCTTGGTCTCTTGGGAACTCAGGGACAGTGAACGAAGTCATGAATTTGAGTTAGCTAGTCAATTTAGCATTTGCTGCAGAGAAGAGAATATAATATATACGTTTTTGTAGTTTATACAATGATTGGTAGTAAGGGAATATGACCAAGAAGAGCATCATTTGCTAATAGTAGCATCCATCTGCAGTACCAACCATCACGCTTAGAGTTAGGTGGCTCTCTCAGCAAGATGAACTTTCACCACCGTCCCATCGATAGGCTTCGCGGTGACCTGCATAGTCTAGTAAACCAGAAAGTAAGCCACCCTTCTACCAACTCGGAACAAAGAAAAACCAAGGAAAGAAAACTTACATTGAACAATTCCGTCTCCACCTCATACTGCCCCTTGGCAGCATTTAAGATAGGCGCCCCAGTCGCATCCCGCGCAAGAGCGCCCACCCCCACCTTCTCGAAATCGAAGCGCCGAACCGTACACGCCAGGATTACCCGGGCCTCCAGGTTGGCTAGCTCTTGACCAATACAGTTGCGCGGGCCGCGCTCGAACGGTCTCCACGCGCTGGCGGGAACATGGGCGCTTGCGACCGAACCATCCCCATCCCCCTGATTCTCCGCGCTATCCGGGATCAGTCCTAGACCGGTATCTGTGTTTCCCAACCACCGCTCTGGGATGAATTCATCTTTTGTCGGTCCGTACACTTTCTCCTCACGATGGACGAGTGTCGCGTTGAGATAGACGACTACTCCGTCCAGGCAGAGCGTCTTCCCGTCTGGTAATTGCACGTTGAAGCCTGAACCTGGGGGCATGTACCGCGCTGACCCGGATGGTGGGTACAGTCGCAGGATTTCCTTGATCACAGCAGAGGTATAGGACATCCGCTTCAGGAGTTCTTCTCCGCCCGGGGCAAGGAGCTTCTCTTGCACGGCTGCGGGGGATGGATCTGGTCCGAAGAGGTCGTCTAGTTCGCGGCGAACTTTATCCAGCACGCGTGGGGTGCGACTGAGGATATAAAAGGTCCACTGCAATACGATACTGGTGGTATCGTGACCGGCGAAAAGGAAGCTTTTGAGCTGGTCGCATGTTTCCTGGATGACTTGGGTATTTAGTTGGTCGATGTCCTGTAAACTCAGGGAGAGAACACTCCGGGAGCGCTTCTCCGTCGACTTGGACTTGAGCTCAGCAAACTTCGATTTGATGTGTTCAGCTATCAGCTGATCAATGCGTCGAGACAGAGTTCGACGCCGCCAGTTTAGGCGGGGGTC